TATCTGACAGCAGTTTATCAAGTTAAAAAATTGGGGCAATGTTTTGAATTACGTAGTTGGTCCCTCGTTAGGTTAGGGCTGGTGCGCGCTTATTATCGTTAGGCAAGGTTTTAATTGGAGTGGATTAAAAAAATATGAAGTTTTTATGAAAATGGAATACAGACAAGCACGAGTTTCACTCGATAAGAGATGGTATATCCCGATCCTATAACAAGGATTTGGGATGCGCTATCGAAAATAACACTTGGATTTAATTCCGATACGCATTTATTGTCTATATTACATTTTATTATGTTATAAAAAGCTATGAAATGATTTAAAACATAGATACCTATATTTCAATTTAGTTACGCCAAGTTACATGGCTATAATTTTCCTAAAACCCGTTGAACAAAGATTAAAGTGGTACCAGATATTGGTCTTTCCTCAATTGGAGCTTATTTTTTAGGCCTGATAACCCTAGTCGCATGTGCAAGTTACGTTACAATTTCGAAACGGGAGAGTGAAAAGAGGCCATTGGATAAGATTACTGTTAACTGTGTAAACACACCGTTTACATTGATAACTTGTTAGAATTACTGCGCTTGCGCCGATGTCGCTCTCTAATAATTGACTAATCGTACCAAACGACGTGTACAACATTAATATCCAAATCACACCTCGCGAGACTCAAGAGGGTCGTTTCGAGCTCCTAGGTTCGAGTCCTGGGAATATACAGCACATGTAAATAAAACCACCGTTCTTAGCATCAGGTACATAGATCAATGTTCAATGATCAAGGAGTACCTAATAATTTCAGTAAGAAGGGAACATATTATAAGCATCTTACTAAAAGTTGTTCTAAAGGAGCATAGACAGCTCACTTGGTGGTCGGTGATAACCCAGCCATATAACATCTGAATAAGATGCACTATCGATCTATTTTGGCTTTGGATATTCGGAAACCCACCCGCTGAAACCCAAACACGATAAACTTAATAAGTTACTTACGATAATAACAAACCGTATTATGTTACTTTCTGCAAATGACACCAAACACCCAAAAATCTATATACAGAATCTGCGCATACGCCGAAAATAAACGAACACTTCCCCAAACCGTATTGCATTCGACTATGAACAATCCTGAATTCTGATTGTCCTCGAAATTGATTAGATAAAAGAATTACGCACATACGAGAGTTACTGCGCAACGGCAGCTCAGAACAATTCATAAACATAGCACTATATGTTATTACGTTCTCATTAAACGCGATTTATTTGCCGGACAAATGTGCATCTTAATTATAACAAATTACGTTTCAATTTACCTTGTGTATGTTTTCTTATTAGAGCGAAGATTCGGTCAAAATTTGTCTTAGGGATGAGATTGTATATAATCGTTTGTGAATCTTCAACGGTTAATTAATTCTTTCATAGTAATAAACAATAATTATTATATAAAATAACATATATTCAAATCAAACATTGAGAAAATGTTATTCAAGTATTATATTGTGTAGCTTACACGTATTTATTTAACGGTTAGAATCGCGTAAATTACATATACATATCTAATATATTTCTCGTTTAAAACCATTAAACCGTACGTATAACTTCCTTCTTTTTTATCTTTGTAATTTAGTTATGCAAAGCAAATTAGTACATGGACCATTATATTAAGACATTTTTAGTACAAAAATACCATAGACTACTTCAAAGATATAATTACTTTTTAGGACACGTCTAGGGTCGTAGGGTTTTAATATTAAGTAAAGTTATGCAAGATTATGAGTCACACATTTAGACACTAGTCATCCCTTACCAATGTCCGACTCCTTAAGTTCAAAACATGACCCGGAAACGATATTCACTCATGATTCACGTACAATACATGATTCAATTTAACATTAACATGGCAATCCTGGTGACTAATGACGAGAACTTTATCAGTTCTTATTTGCTTGTATCTGTTGTCAACTACTTTCCTATTTACCGAATTCCAGTGAGATAATACGTATTTCTCAATTAGTAATTGGAAACAGAAATTGTCTTATACCACGTGGCTCTTATCGTGTAGGTACTAGGTGTGCCAGCGACTTCGTCCGCGTAAAATAGTAATTTTGGACATCATTTGTTGGCATATTACGACGTCGGTCGCTTCCCGTCGTTCTTGCGAGTTAATGTCAGGAGATAGCCATCTAGTATCTAGACATAGACATTTTATCAATAATTTAAAGAGGAATCATTATTTCATACATATTTTTTGGGTATCTTGAACCGTTTTCGCAGCAGGAAACACACAAAGATGATAATTTTCGCCGTCAGATTAGCGCGTAAACAAACAAACTGTTCATCTTTTTATATTAGTATAGATAATATGCAATTAATGAATGGGTACCTGTCCATCTTGCGTATGGTTTGTATTCCAACCGTTTGCGGGTAGATCGGACGCCATCAGCTTATCAGGCGCCTGCAATCCAAGCTGACCCCGCGATATCCTCGATCTATATTGCCCCCGCCCCCGCCCCGCAAATGACAAAACGAAGGATTCTGCGCCGTCTCTCGTTCATCTTAAAGATGAAAATTCCGTGGGTGAGCTGGTGGGAACGGGAGCATGAATGGAATGGCTTGTGAATGAGCGGACTATGTCCCGCGGGCGATAAGCGCTATCGTAGAGGCCAGCTGATGGTCGATGTTGACAAACCCTGTTCCACTTTCCTTCTACCCGTGCCGACTTGGCCTTATCAATTTACTTGCGCGCTCTCGACTACATACATCTCTTTTATTCATTGCATTATAGTTATTTTGGCGGTGGTATGGTTTAAATAAAACAATTTAACGGTTTAAATTTACGTGGTGGACCACGGCTGCTGCAAAGCATCCGAAACGTCGGGCCGAAGTTAAAAATCATTTTCAAATAAGTTTAACTAATATATCGCGTTTTAAACCGTTAAAGTGTTTTATTTAAATGTGTACTACTCGCGTAAACTATAGACGGACTATAGACGGTGGTATAGCACCTACCAGCAAGTGAATCATTAAAAAAATATTATCTTATTTAGACCAGCACACATGACGTGTAGGTAATTGATCTAAATTAAATCGATCTTCGAAACATACAAAGTACGGAATTTCATTTTTTAATGTTATTGCGTTATTCATTCAGAACTTATTAAGATATAGGTCTCCTTATCGCTTATTGTAATGAGCTCCGTCTTTAATTGTTCGTTTGTTTTGCGTTGTGTTGTTGTCACAATAAATTGAACTGTTTACAAAATTATAGTATATGTTCATAATACGCATCGATATAGTTCACCTAGGTTTTATAATCTAGGGATAAAAAATTGCCAAAATACAATTTTAAGCACATCTCCCCATAGAGCACGAGCGTGACACGTACTTTTAACAGAGTTTTTTGAAACGCTAAAAATATGCTAGTTTCATAAGAATTTAGTTATTAAAGTTAGTCTGGAATTTCTGTTGGCGTCTCTTTCAGGTCATGTTAAGTTATTGAACGTAAGCACTTACTGCTTCTTATAAAGTACATATTTACTACTTTTATTTGTTTGTCTTTTCTCAATTTGTCTTACCTAGGACTTAACTAAGTTTACAGCTGTCTTTCCTTGGTCTCATTTAGTCTCTGGGCATATCTACATTAGGTATCGAGATATGTGTACCAAATAAAAGGTGCTCATAATGTAACTCAAGCATAAAACAAAAGTAGAACAAAACCGTGTTCACTTCCCGCACCTGTCAATTCAAATTAATGCCTTAAAAATCAGTAATGATTAAAAAGTGGCTCGGAATTAATGTAATCGCACGATCAGGCCGGAGCAATTACAGCGAGTATTCACAGCTACACACATAGACCCCTGCGAGTAGTAATTTTAGCATTCTCGGGTTCTAACGAGGTGGCCGGCTGCGCCCGCGCACCTGCCGTAGCACGCGCCGTTCCTGCCCCGCTCACCAGGTATCACATGGAGAAATCAAGGGTCTGTTGTAAGAGGCTTTATAAGCTATTACTTCTTCGACTGTTTAAACTTACAAATGGACGCTTGGCGTAGAATTTTTTGTTGTATTTGTTACTTGTGAAGATGATGTTGTTCAGAGGGCAAGTTTACGACTTATTTATAGCTATTTATGACTTTCTATTTTTTAATCAGATTTATTTCTGTGTCTGAAAGTTAAAATCAAAGTCAAAAATCACTTATTCACGTAGGTAACTTGGTACACCTACCTACGTACTACCAGGTCTCAAATCAAAGGCTTAGAACGTGCGAGAAGAACTGGCAAGAAACTCGCCATTCATTTTATCGCCAAGTTTTATTACAGTTTAATTATATATGTCAAAGTATGTATGTATGTCGATAATTTCGTCCACGAATTGAATCAATCCATCGGATCTTACCTGTTTTTCATGCTACCACGTGGATGGGCAGTACGTTTTTTAAGATGATATATTCTTTACTCTGATTCAGTTAAAGAAAGAATCTCACATTCCTAGTTTGCAGGTACATTCCACAAGAAATTTGATAAAAGCAATGGGCTGGTACTATAGTCATTTCAAGTATGTAAACTCGTACACAGAAATATGTCATGAAACTTATAAATATAAACAAGATGGGCTGTCGAATTATTTTGACTTTGGATATTCGGAAATACATAGACTGAAAGCGAAACGCGATACTTGACGGATTTATCAACTGTGGACGGTGGTTCATTTCAGACGAAATGCAACACGTTTCAGAACAATTATAAATTGATTATTTTTTAATCGTTGTTCTGTTGGACCCGTTGGGAGTCGAACCCAGATTTCTACCATTGCACCAATGAGCCCTTGATTGATGATTTCTTCGTAACGGATAAGTACTTTTATTCAGTAACGATTTGAAAGTCTCCTCATAAATAGACTCCTGTTTAATATGCCACGGTTAACTGTACCGAAAATTGTGATGAGGTAGACACCTGTTAGAATTAGTTGTGGCGATTGTTACGCCGTTGTTAGAGCACGCGCAGGCATGCGACCTACCCCGCCGCTGCACCGCACCGCCCACCCCTCCGACTCCCTCCCCACCACACCGTCCCTAGTCACCATTCATTGGAATGCGGGTACGGTACTTCGGTACACCTCATTACTGATGCCAAAGTATTTACTGTTTTTGGAACATTAAGCTTTAAGAACGTCTTACAATCTGAATCTCTAGGATGTAGATTATAACTAGTCGACGGTAATCACCATCCCTTTATACAAACCCCCTGGTAGTAACCTAGTATATTATAATTGTAGATAATGTAAATTCTACTACAACCACAGATAAAAAATATATTTAAATGATAAAACTATTTATTGCACAAATATATTTACACCGAAATACAACATAGACACATATATCTGTATTTAATTGCATCAGTTCTTCTTACTACTTGCGTACTCCCTTTACTAGTGTGCTCCCTTTTCATCTATATTAGACACGAGGCAGAAACAATAATAGTACCTACAGACTAGTTGTTTGTCGGCGAACGAAACTGTTATCATAGACAGCGCGTTCAACCAGAGATCATGCATATAAGGTCTGAGGAATTTTACAAGATCTCAACAAAATCGGGACTTTTGACAGATAAGCAGCCTTGTCTAAAACAGAATTAGAATTAGTTTGTGTCGTGTTCGATCGATCGTATTGAGTACGATACACTGCCTCATTTGATAGAGGTGGCGAGATGGGATCTTCGGGTTTGTGGTAATGTAACGCTGATGTGGGGAATGGACGCATTTAGAAGGGCCGCTACTGTAATATAGATTATTCCGATGCGCCCTCATCTTCAACCCAATCGGGGTTCCCAATAGTGCAGGGTTCATTCTAACATGGCGGATTCGTTGGTCCGATGGTAGCAAAGTATTCTTCTTTTAATTTTTCTAAAACATTTTCGACTTCTGGAAATCTGGATATTATATGGGTGGTAGGAAATTCCGTCCGGGTCACGAACCAGCGTCCACAGATGGAAAAGCCATGAAGCTTAATGGCGTTTCGGTGTCAGTCTGTGGATGAAATAAATCGACAGCGCATCTTAATTAGATGGTATAGGCTGGGGATACCTACCGTCAAGTGAACATCATGCTTGCCTGTCCCCCTCTATCATAAAAAAAAACATGAAGATGACGTCACCGTGCGTGAATGGACGTAGTGTAGCGTAGAACAATGACGTAAGCATAGGACAAAGGATGTGAATGACATCTGGAAGGGTCGTTTGTCGGGTACAAGAAAGCGATCGGCCCGCGTTCAGTGACCCTGGCCGGACGTCACGCTTCAAGGAAGACGACGCGCTCTCCCTCACTTCGTTCCTTTTCCCGTTCTAGAAGCCCAAATGACGAGACGCTAGCTGATGTAAGCTGGGCAATTTGGAGTACCCATGGCCAGTAGAAACAGAGATTCAAACTACTGTTTTACTAGGTATATTTTAAATTAAGTAATTTATGTATATAAAAATACAATTGATTCAAAAGTGGGATAATGTGTTATCTATAAAATATTTTTTTTTTTTATTTCTAAGATCTTTTTTTTTTTAAAATATTTCTTTTATATTTTCTAATAATTATTTTTAGTAAACATTGACGCCCTCAGTAACATACTAAACTTTATTGTACATAGTAATAAGTTTCAAAACTTATCAACAATTTGAATGCTACTGAGAATTATGTACTTATAATTCTCTAGTTTTGTATGAACTGTCAGCGTTTAAAGGGTGGAGTTTTAGGGTAAAAGTTTGTAGTAATAGTAAAGATAATTGTATCTATCCACTATCATTTTGTAATTATTAACGTGCTAAAAGTCATCTAAGTTTACAAATATTGTTTAGAAATATTCAAAATTTTGCACAAGTGCCTAATGTGTAGGTATTTTATTAATGTATATTACAATTGGAGAATAATATTTAATATCCGTTCATATTTATTCTAAAATAAAACGTTTAAAATAAGAATGTTGCAAATACATATTTTAGTTATAACTACCCTCATGGCATTTCTAAATTCAAATTAAGAAGATATTAAAGGTTATTGTTTATACATCATATTAATACATAACTATTTATGTATTCTTTTTTGTCGAGATATATGTTAGGTTTTTAATCCATTTATATTATCAATCTACAGACTTATAATGTGACATTTTTGACATTGCCATCTACCTACATTTTCTGCCTTCTGAATTAGTTTACCTATCTAAATACTATTTGTCAATTTTTACTTATGAAATCAGGCCTTTCAAACTAGTTATCTGTGACTTAAAGTGGGAGACTAAGATTAGATAGGCACTGCCCTATTTGTTGATAAGAAGACCGGATTCCAACCTACCTACTTACACGTTAAAAATAATTATTTTTTAATATGACTATATTTTATTAAAGGTCCTCCGTTTTATTTATATTTACTATTCATTTGTGTGTAAAAGGTATATTTTAAATGTTTTCTACTGTTTGATCTAAACTACCTACACGTAAAAAAAACATAAAAGTTATTATTTTAATTCAAATACATATGTAATAGATTTATTAGATTTATTAAAATTTATTTTAATATATAAAAAGAAATTCCACGCGAAAATTTGTAAATTGTTACAATATAAAAATATATAGTGTAAGCGCACAGTCCATATCGCTATAAGTTCGCTGCGTGTGGCAACACTAGGAAATACTTTTCGCGCACTTTTTAAATAACAACACCCCCTACAACTCAGCGCCTATCAGATTTAATTAAAAAAAATAACATGAAAACAAAATATGATTTGGAAATACACATTTTCCATACCCTGTTTTTACATCATGTTGAACTGGACAAATATTAATTAAAACACACATTTTGTTTATTTAAACATATTTATTAATTTCATTTTTGATTAGGAATTAAGAATAAATGGCAATAAAATATATTTGCATGTAAATATTTATAGACAGATGTATTTTTTTTCAAAAAAAATCCTTTGTTTTTGTACATAAAGAACTATTATGTGAATGTTATTGACCCAAATGTGTTTAGAAATTGTTGTTTCTCGATTTAGTTTCTCTTTTGTCTATGTTTTAAATTTGATACTTTTAATATTTGACTAAAAACCGCAAAATTAAAAAGAAATGATTTTAAAAGAAGTATTGATCTGTGCTTATATTTTATTAAACATTTAGGAATCGAATAATCTTCATCTACCTACATATTTAGTAATTTCATTTGAAATTTATTTTAAAAAGTGTTTCATATATATAACAGGGTTATCGCATAACATAAAAATAGTTACTTAAGTAATATTGTTATGTGAGTATAGAAATTTTGATGATATTCTATATCACCATTGGTTATTATTTATCTGTTAATCAATATAACCTTATTTTATAGACATTTAGTTTAGACTTTTTTTTTAATATGGCGGTGTTGCCACTTTTCCAATCCGTTCCATGTATGACATATTTTTGAAAGATCAAAGCTTGATAAGTACTTACATCACTTTTAATGATAATGTAACCATCTTTTGATAGGTAATTTATTGGAAAATTTAAATATCTAAAATATATAATAACTATCTAAATACTACTAAAACATTCTCAAATACATTTATACTTATTATTACACATACAATTTTAACATATATAGGTGTATATATGTTAAAATGTTACATTGCCTACCTTCTTATTCAACTAATTAATAATTAATTGATTTACTGTATTTCTTAAACAACATTCTTATAATATAATATATAACAATAAGTATAATATGATAAAAAGTTTCTTCTAAATAATTTTGAATTGAATATATATTCCTTTATTAATTCTAATGAAGTATTAAAAAATAGAGTTATAAATTTATATAATGAGGTACTTCTATACTTAATTCTAAGCTGATTTTTAGGTTGCCAGTTACAATGCAGCGTAAACTTGCTATAATTCTCTAATAATAGTAGATGCAGTAAGTCTGTGTGATATAATTTAGCTGATACTTCTATGATCACGTCGGTAGAACATGTCAATTTTGTGGAAAATTGTCAAATGTAGCACAACAGCGCAGTCTGTGCGCTGCGGCGACGACGAGCAAGCAATTTGCGAGGCGAGATAAACGTGTGTGTGTTCTTGTCTCAATTCTTACAGCATTCGTGTGCGTGCACGTAAAGTGAAGGTCGAATATTTTGTCCCTACTCCTCGGTTTATTGGTGTTCACGAGTCGGCACTGTGATAATGACGGTCTGGCGTCTCGCTCCCACCGCCCCCCGCTCCCCAAGGGGGGGGGAAGAGGCCAAAAAAAGCGGGGCGGGGGGGCCCCCCCCGCCGGCCGCGGCCGCCCCCCCCTCCTCCTCCCCCCCCCCCAGGGAAACGGATCGTGTGTGTCGCGCGTACGGTTTCGAGACTTCCGTCTACTCTTCGTCGCACACGAATATTTTTAGATAATAGTGTGAACGATTTTTTCGCAAGGTGCCTAGTAATCGCGCGCACTTCTGTGGATATGGGTATCGTCGGATGCGGGCGCGTTTCGGCGGACTCGATATGGCAAAGACGGCCGGGCCGTCGGCGGTGGAGTTCGGGCGCGAGTCGCCGGCGGCGGAGACGTCCCGATAGGTAAGCTGCGCAATTCCTGCGCGCGCGCCGCCATATTCTGCGGGAACGTCACTTCCGTCCGCGCCGCAGCATGTGGCCAACGGGCTTCTGGACGCTCAGTGTCTCGTCGCCGATAGCGAGCCCAGCAAGTATGCACATTCTCCGCTCGTCGCTCTATCGCTTAGGTCAATGGGCGACGGCGATTCATAAAATGTCGGTCGGCCCATTCACGCCGCGGCGCGATGTTACACGGACCGTTCACTCGTGACCCTCGCGTCTTCGAATATTCATGTCTTCATCGATAACATCGTAACCTCTGACTTCTTTTTGTACTATCGCGCGTTTAGTGAACGACGCTAGTCGCAGCCGGACTTCGTTCTAAGTGCTAGAAACAAGTGACATCGACCGATTTTGTTCTGCATCAGTCGATGCACTGTGAATGTTGTGAAAAGTGAGTTCATAAAGTGGAATTATTCCCCGAATTTATGGAATAGTACAGAACCTAACGTAAGATTAGAAATTTTATTATGCTCCTTAGTGAAGAGTTGTAACGAGAATTTTTTTACTAATATTTTAGTCTACCTTCATTTTTCAATTTGTGTAGATTTCGTATACAGTCCGTTGAGTTCAAAAGATATCGTACCGATAAGAATCACTTCTCATGCGTAGGCAATAAATGGAAACAATGAGATGTATGGTGGCGTTATCGACAGGACGTACGTCATCGCTGGACCGTGACGTTTGCGTGTCTCTTGCTCACACGGCGCTCTAGTTTTAACATCACCCCTGTCTGTTCATTGCCCCCGTCTCACCCTCCATAAATTGCCCCAAAGTTGTATTCACACATCGATATCTTCTAATATAATAAATCCGTATTTAAAATTTAAGCCTTTGAAAACATATTTAAATGTACGGTAGTTTGAAAATTTTAATAATAGTAAATTTTTATCGACACAGACGTCAGTTATATATGATTGACACGTTTTTTAAATACCTTGTACCTATATTAATTTCGCATATTCGACGAGAGCGTACCGTGAGTCAGATCTACGTCAGAGGCATGCGTTAGCAGTTAGACCGTTGACTCAACGAACAATGACGTCCGCTGTCACCCATCGTGCACCCGTTGCCTCGTCTTGAGCCCACACAGCCCACATAGCATAATTATTGAGCGTTTTAAGGCCTACAACCGAAACTATGTGCGGTGCGCCTCCGTTTCCGGTGCAGTCGAACGGCGGCGTGGGCGCATTTCATAAGTATTTCCTCCGACACACATCCTCTCATTGACGGATATGTCCTACGCGAAACTATAAATGATTGCGAAAACACTCATGCCTAAAAATGTTATTTCTATATTTAAATATTATCTCTAAATGAAATATTTGCAAATGTTATATTGGTAAATTAATTTTTAAAAACGCTACGCTTTTCAAACAGTTGAGTTTTAAACCGTTAGAATGGCATTTGACACATGTTGCATGTCTCGTTGCGATGCTGTCTCGGAAAGTGAACGAACGCTCTCCGTTAAGGAAAGTGCCCGTAGGTGGGTGAGATAGCGCGACGAAGCCGTTTCGCACGTCTCACTATGCCAGTTCTCAGCCCCACTATAAGTCATCAAGGGTCGCTCCACAAAAAGCGATCATTATAAAGGTTGTAAAGACTGCACCGGCGCCGAGCCTTCCCAGAACCGGGGTCATTCTTATTTCGCGCTCCCGCCTCGTTCACGGCGTTTTTTGTTCGCTTTTGGTCATTTTTTTCGGGAGCGGTGGTGTTGTGAGAGCTTCGAGGAAAAAGCTTATTGGGTTTCGAATGGGAGCGCGGCTTATCTCGGCCGGCGATCGGCAGCGGTGGGCCTGGGAACGCGTCGAGGTATAGCAGAGCGATGGACCGTTAGGCGACTAGCACGCCGCGCCGCATTCCTCTCGTAGGTACCTACAACCTAGCTGTCAGCGGCTGTCTTTACTCTACGACGTCACGCCTTAGATAACGCCTTCGCGTTGTTCGCAGGCAATTTTTCTCCAACGTCACATTGAATTTGCGCAAATTTTTATCATAATAATTTTATATATAAAATTTTGACCGAAATAGCACAAAATCTTAATACACTTAAAATTAATATCCATTTGTAATTTAAATATTCTTTATTATATTGACTAATATGGAAATATTCAACTTACATAAAATGTTATTTTCATTATATTTTTGTCCTTTGTTATTTACCTACCCAGCATTCATTTTTTTTAATTGTATGTATCCAGTAACATTTTCTTTACGTAACGCGTCATTCAGTAACTAGATGGCGTTGTGAATAGTTCCTCTAAGTAGGTCGAATATCAACAATAAAAAAATAGCTAGTATGTATTTGTTAATATTACCATTAAGTATAAGCAAAGGTAAATTGTTGTTCTCACAGTGATACCAATGTCGTGACGCTTCTCACAGATTGTCTCGGGTCTTGGGAAAAGACATCGTCATTTATTACCAATCTAAAAATTCATTATTTAACACATTTTGTAATTGACGTAAAATACCTTTGAGCGATTATTTACTTTTCTTTTGGTAATTTTCAGAGTTTGCAACACTAATTTCGGTTGTATGATGGGCGATTTGAATATTGGGAACAATCCTGCGCAGACACTACGCTGAAGACGTATTTCGGAGTTGTGATTGAAGATTTTAAGTAAGTACAAAATATAACCTTATTTGTGAACTACGCCATCTATTTTCAAATCCAATAATATCGTTGCTAATTATTGTATTTCGAAGTGAGAAAACGGAAAGTAATGCATTATTAATGATCCATGTTCCGGCCTAGTTTTCCTAATAAACAATTAGACCCGTTACTTCTTAATTTATTTAAAATAGTTTAGCCTCTATTAACCGCCATCGTAGCTCAATACGTAAGCGATTTCCTGTAGGCGCGAAAGTTCCTGGGTTGGAAACCTAGTGAAACGATCAATTCGGTTGTTGGATAAGATTGATCAATGTAAAAAGAAAAATCATGCAATATTATGTTGAGGAGTTGGTGGAACTTGGCGGGTCACGGGCCCTTAATGAGTGCAAGGGGAAGCTATAAATCGACGCAAACAATGGTGCGATAAGGCACCTTAGGTGCGCGATAGACCCCAACAAAACTGGATCGCCGTAAAAAAATATTTGCTTTTCTTTTAATAAAGGCGTGAAACAGTTATTTAATTTTTAGGCCTCGTCAGGCAACACATAACAATGTAGGGCTAATAATCAAAGGGCCGTGGGTTCGATCCCCACCGGGTCCAACATATTTCTAATTTTCCATTTTATAATTTTTCTGAAACATAATGGACTTTCTAGAAATCTGGATATTAATTGGGCGATAGGAATAACGAATTTCCATCCGGGTCACGAGACACCGTCCACAGGTGAAAAAGTCGTGAAGTTCGATCGCGTTTCGGTGCCAGTCTATTTTAAGCCAAAAAATCGAAATACTTGTTAGATGTTATTGCTGGGGTATTTCACCTCCCAAAAAATTTTATTTTCTTTAATTTCTCATTAATCTTGACTTAATATAAAGCTTGTAGAATGAATCCTATTACTGTGAAAGTAGTTCGATGGATGTACCTACGGTCTATTTGCGGATCTGGGCATTTGGCAACATGTTTTGTTAATAGGTCGCTTGGCGATAGTGCGGAGCTCCGAGGTGAGGGGGAAAAGAGGTCGGCGTAACGCAAACCTTATCGGTCATTGACCTTCACACCTAAACTGAGCCTCCCATCTCACGGTGCGCGTGCGATATTGTAACTTTAAACAAAAATTTTTGGGACCCGCAACGGTAAAAGTCTCTCGTTACTTCTGTATCGATTTTTGTAACAATAAGGTGCGGCTACGTTTAACGTGTTTAACTATAAGTCACAGTAACTGGAGCGTGCCCCAGTTAGAAGTCTGGACGTCAGGTAGGCGCCAGCAGAGCCTTGACCTCGTCACCCGATTCACCGGCGCATGCGCATGCCCCGATATATATGCGAAATGTCACCGAATTTTATTGGGTACGTGAATTCGACGATAGTATTTTTAATCCAGCATCAGACAGTAGCCGATCGGTGTCACCTCACACGCGCTTTCGCAACTATGGTTTACAGCTATACCCTCTAAGTGACTGCGTCGCTTCTGTGTCGCCTATTTCTACTTGTTGACTTTACCGATAATCGAAATAATAGTGACACGCCAAAGTCGGTCATGTTGCTATGTAATTAGAGACGTCGACAGCGCGGGACGAGACAAGGCTAACAAAATTCGGGGGGCGGCGCGGGTCGTGGCCTGCGTTGCGTTGAATAAAACATGCCGCTGCGCCGCGCCTTGGCGCCACCGCGTCGCTTATTGTCGCTACACTGAAACAATACGTGGACTAGCTTCTACGCTAGGGTTGGCGAAAGCGAGTTTTTCACGACTTCTTAAACAGATGGTGTGGGTTCGATTTCCACCCGATCCAAATAGTCAAAAATCATTAATTCACGATGGCAACTTATATAAAGGTCACACCAGTTGAAAAGAAAATACTAAATTTATTTATATTTAACAATCGGTTCTGAAATTAAGAGCGTAGAACGAACGAGAAGAACTGGCAAAAAACTCGCCGTCCCTTCTTTTATCGCCAAGTCCAGCATGTTCGTTAAACATTGTCTTTCCAAAGTAATATGTGCAAATGTATAGGAATTCAATTAGTTTCAGTGTATAGATTCACCTTCCAAGATCTTACTGACTAAAAAATTATTTTTATGATCTATATTTGCCACACGATTAGTAAGTAAACGAAATAAGTGCACTTATTTTGTGAAGTAGAATTCTATTTAAAAATGGACATCCCTGCGCTCTCGCGAGTCTGCGCCCGCGCCGACCGTCCTGAAAACAGTAACTGTGTCACGCGTCTTTTCCATCTGTTCGTCTGTTATGTACGGCGCATGCGTGTATACCGATCTACACATTACACGCTTAGTGCTTACGCAAATCATTCAATGCATTATAACGACGTCACTAAGCTAAGTACAAGATACTTGTTTAATACTAATATTTATGTTAACCCATTTTGATGCAGTTTTTTTTAATAGATAGATAATTCAAGAGGAAGGTTTTTTATTTAAAACCGGGAAGGTCACTAGTATAGAATAAAATAATCTTAACAGAATGAAAGGTCAGTTATATTACATTTAAAATAAAATAATGTATATTGCGCGAGAGGTACCTACATATATATCAATAGGTTGAAAAATTCGACGATGACGTGTGGACACGGTAGCTCAATTGGTTACAGTAGCAGTACAGAACGCTGTACATGCCTGTTTACGTCCCGCCCGTGGCGTAAATTTTTTCCAACTACCTTCATTAACTTCCTATTGAAAGCATCCGAAACGTCTAGTCATAAAATAAAACTAAAATAGTTCGCGTTTTAATCTGTTAAAATCAAATCACTTTAATGTCTTCAATTCAGCGTTACTACAAAAATAGCAATAAAAACAGTTCCATGAATTGTAACATCAACGGTAGCCATTCAGGAATTTACGTAAATATTTTTATTGTAATCGATACATCGACGTTATGTGATACATAAGGAATGCATTTTACTTGGAACCTGTATAAATCACGCGCAGTTATTTGTAAGCAAGCGACAAAAATTCACAATGCAATCAAAATTATTCGGTTAGTGACACTTATGTAGTCTATGACTTGTGATGTGTATATTTAGTCACTGTAGCTCAGTAGCCACTGTATTGTTTTATACTACTAAAAATTTTAGTCTATCAGAAAAAAATCTGAATAACTACTTGTCTGTAAAAAATCGATCAAGAAAGATATGTCTGCTCAATTGTTAGAAAACGGGATTTTCTTTTTCTGCATTCAGTTCATTCAAGTCGTAGCAAATTTGTAGCACTCTCGTAGCGATGTTTTTTGGACGAATGACTCTAGAATAAATAAAAAACAACCGTAGCCAAGTAAACTAAGTAATAACGAAAGAGAAAATATACGGGAATAGCAAACAATGTCTTAAACCATAAGTCCTTTATGTTATTTTCTTTGATTATTAGTGTTACAATTTACATAAAACACTTTAACGGTTTAAAACGCGATATATTAGTTAAACTTATTTGAAAAAATATTTTTAACTTCGAAACGTCGGGCCAAAGTTAAAAATCATTTTTCAAATAAGTTTAACTAATATATCGCGTTTTAAACCGTTAAAGTGTTTTATTTAGTTTTACAATTGTTAACTAAGTCATAACTTTATTTAAACTAGCTTATACCGAATCGGAATTTGCCGAACAGTCAAATGATAAACAAAGCTTTTATAATCGTCTAATTGATTTTTATGATTGGTAGAAAATGTTTGTCAAAAATCTAAAATAAAAAAAAATTAAGCATAGTCGAAAATTAAAAATGACGTCACATTAAAGATACATTAACGCTTATATTAAAATCTATTTCAAATTTAAAAATATATATTTCAATATTTTCAAACGCTTGTTCTATTTTTAAATATTTAAAAGAGACAAGAAAGATAACCCGTTTTATTTGAGAAGCTAATAATTAAAGACCATTAGAATGCATGCCGCGACAATATGATCACGTATGTGTTATTAGCCCATGTTCACACTGCCTAATAAATATTAAACTCTTCGAGATCGTGACAAATGACAATTACGAACAACACCACTTACCTTAATTTACCCGAGAATTACAATGAGCTCAGAGCCGTTCGTGAGGTTGGGAGTTCGACCCCCAGTCGTGCACCAAGTCTTTGTCTATGTTGCACGTGGTCTCCGGTGAAACAATTTGAAGAAAACATAGGCATGCGCAATTGAGCTATCGCGTCCTGTTGGTTAGAGCAACAGCACGGAGCGCTGTTGATATCGGTACAGGTCCCGCCCTTGACGTAATTTTTTTTATTCTTAAAACGATTTCAAATGTATATAATGCCATCATGTGCCTCATGTGAAAAGTATGAAGGTTTTCAAACTAGTTTTGGCATTTTAATTAGTTTAAATAAAACACTTTAACGGTTTAAAACGCGATATATTAGTTAAACTTATTTGAAAATGATTTTTAACTTCGGCCCGACGTTTTTGATGCTTTGCAGCAGCCGTGGTCACGGGGAGACTAAAGATGGAGGATGTCTCTGACGTAGAAGTAAAAATAGCCACGCTAGCGCTATCTGTTCCGTCGAAGTTGGTCTGAACTGGCCAGATACCAACTTCGACGGAACAGATGGCGCTAGCTAATATATTATCGCGTTTTAAACAGTTAAAGTGTTTTATTTAAATGTGTACTACTCGCGTAAACTATAGACAGTATTTTAATTGGTTTTCATATGAATTCATCTAAACTTAAACTTAATAAATCAATACAGTACCATTTCCAATGAATATATACATATATTTTATTATTACTCTGCACAGCTATTAATGTGTAAACAATAGAATTAAACTCTAGAGGAACTTATCACTCCGCTAAAGTATTATATTTGAACTATATTCAAACGACTCTGTAATTGTCGGTAATTATGGAGGGTAATTGAATTTGAAATGGTTCTGCGATGAGCACATACGGTTTTGGTCGATTTCGGTAAGCGAAGATAGCATCGTAAGTAGGTTTTTTTTAAGTATTAATTATGAGCGTGCATTGGGCTGGTCGCCCTCTCCGCGACGGATGCTCGCGCTGCCGGAACGGAACGGCGGAAGGGGTACGCAACGGATCTCGTAAACGATAAAACTGTTCACTTATAAATATGCTAAATCTTTTAGTAAGATTTTATATAGATACTAGCTGTGCCGGCGACTTCGTCGTCGTAGAATAGTTATTGTTACATTTCTTTATAACATATAGCTGTTACCCATGTCATCGTCTGTCGTTCTTGCAAGTTATTTTTCAAAGATATACCTACCGTAACGGATATTAAAAAAAACATTCTTTCATGCATAGTTATGGGTATATAATACTTCAATTCAGTTATTCCTGAGATTAGCATGTTCAAACAAACAAAAGCTTCAGCTTTTTAATTATATTGTCTAAAAGGAAGATAATTTTGCCCTATGAAGTACAAAACATACATTGCATACATGTATTTGCTCTATTTATTTATCTCATTTTGAAAACCATAAGTTTGTTTTTCTCTATCATATGTAAACTTTTTACAACCTCTATGAACTAATAAATCAATAATAAAAAATATTTACAAACAAACATACTGCTCATCTCTACTGTTATATTTATCATTCTATACACATAAGCCAAAGTTATAATTTGAGGTTCGTCGTGAAATAACATTTGTTATAAATAATAGCTATTATGTCGGCGCGGGAGCATCACAAGATCAAATTAATCACATAATTTATAAAATAATCGATCATAATGTTATTCAGGCGGCTTGTTAAAAATTTGGTCAGCTATTTTAAAGGTTTGATATCAAAATTAGTTAAACTTCTTTACAAATTATATCAACTAAGGTCCGACGTTTCGGATGCTTTGCACCAGCCGTGGCCACGTCTCCCACATTTCGCGTTTCAAACCGTTATAAGTGTTTTATTTGAATATGTACTACTCGCGTAAACTACAAGTACTGTAGTATTGTCCCTTTATATAAACATGTTTGCTTTGTATGTGAGGTATATCGAAGGTAGCAGCGAGCGAGGATTATCAGCAAAGGGAGAATTACATCAGCTCTTCAGCGATTATAAATAGCGAGTCCCTTAAGGCGCGGGCGCAAGTTTCCGGGCTGGAAGTGTGCCGCTTCCGCCGCGAGCGGTCGTTGACGCGTGCATTGTGGCTGCCACATTCCCCGCCGGCGTCGACGACGTTTTTAAATAGAGGACCGATTACGAGCGTCTGGCTGCGGCGCCGGGCACATGACCGCGCGAAAGTGCAGCGCCCCCCGCGTCACGGGCTATTTCCAATGTCGCCTCCGCGGCCCGGACCGGCAGCACGCTCCCGGACCTCTCTTACGATCTATTTAACTAACAATCATCTATGGCACGCTGGACCCAAACGGCACGGCTGAACCGTTTGACGCCCATGGTCCAGAAGCAGTTCAGCGGTTAGCAGCTCGTAGCGAGCAGCAGTGCGGTGTCTCGGCTGAATAAATTCGGAGGGAGGCGCAGTGGAATGCGGCGCGGTGCGGTGCGGGCGGGGGGCGCCGTGCGACTGGCGCGCGCGCCGCTGTCCCACGGTCGCGCACACCCCGCTCACCCCGCGTGCCCACCCGCCCCGCACCCCAGACACTTTCTTTCGCGCCATAAAGGTCGTTTCAAATTTTTCGGAATGCCGTTTGGTGACATTTCACCCACGGGCGGAGGGAATGCAGCCTCAGGCCGAGGCGTTCGCTGCACATCGCCTTCGCTCCGCACTTAGATGCACTCGCGGGTGTTGCCATGTTCTCGCTTTCGCGGTTCGTCCTCACCGCTGGAATGTCATTTGTCCTTAAAAGTCATATCGCTCGGACCTGGAATGCCCCTTAGCCCAGACATAGATTAAAATCCGAATACCTTATTCAATCTTAATGTTTGTGATCTAATTTAGTTACTACTTAAACTTCAATACGTTTTTCATGTAAAAGTTTTCCAATACAGTTTGGGGTTTCGACCCTGAGCCGCGTTTGCGTCACGCTCTTATTGGTATCTTTTCCCACACGCCCGTCTCCGAACATACGATTCATTTCTATCAGATATCGGGAAATCCCCGTGTGAAAGTCGCACGCTGTCAACATAATACAGCGGTATTCTTGCCGCCGATGCGACGACTCTATCGACCCTATCAAATTATTAAAACGCCTTCTCCGAAACGCACAAACTTCGCCGTCGCGAAGCTCATTCACTCTACTTTCCACGCTCATGTGTGAACTGAGTTTCTCCAATTAATAGATTCGTTCCAATAGCAAAGAGCGAGCTGGAGAAAGCCGCGGCGGGCGGGTCAACGTCCGGTGGATTCACGGAGACCGAACGCCGTGAACTTTACAAAGAAATGTGGCGTAACGCTCTAAAATTTCAAAAAGTGCGCTCATTTAACCATTCTGGGAAGCACGAACGCGGTCGGAGCCTCGCATAGGTACTAGTCGGAGGCTTCGGTGCGCTGCGCGGTTATCGAGTCGCGCGCCGCTATGAATGGAATGCGGCGGAGGTTGCGCAAGCTCGGGCTGAGCTGCGGAATGCGCGCGCGCGGGACGAGCCGCGGGCGGGTTGGGGGTAGGGGGGAGCGCTGCAGCCTGCGCGTTGCATCTCGCGGCCATTCACGCCGCGGACCGCCGTGATCGGCGAAATAACTCACCGTTAGAGCCGCGGAATGCGCCCTATCTCTATACCTGCGCTTCGCTCCCGGCATACCATAACGCCGCCCGAGATAAACGTAGATAACGCCGCGCCGAGACAACTTTCTTCTTTATTTGTTTACTACATATTTACATGCCGATCTTAACAGTACTTTAGCGACGAATCTGAACGAGCTCATCGTAAATAAATATCGCCAATAATTTGAAAATTATGTACTTTTTACAATAAAAGACTTTTATGAAAAGAATATTTTTTTCTTTTAATAAAATACAAAACGAATTTTGTTTACACTTAATATAAAACATATTTATTCACGGGTACACCATAGATAAAACCGTTACTGGCGCGGCATGGAGAAGGATGCAACCAAACTTTCGGCGTTTCAAAATTCAACATAATACCATTTATCTGAACAATGGAAAAGTTAAATTAAAAAGCGCATTGCCCCTGAAGGTAGAGTTATATTGCAAAACGAATTTCACGGCTCACATATTATGCTAAATGTTATTAGCATACAGACGTATGCAAGCCCAGAATAGAATTGTCAGAATAGGTAGCCCGCACTATCAATAGTCGTTCGCCCTACATACTTGTCGCGTTGTCGCTCCTCGTTCCACCGACTACATTCCATTGTATCTACCATTGTGATATTTAAATTATCTTTTCATCTTAATTCCTATTGAATTGTGTTTTCCCCTGGATTCTTATTATTGCCTAAGCATGGACTATTCTTTTACCTAACCCTTAAGATGTCTGAGACTAAATATGAGAATACAACACAATATTTTAGCTATTTTGGGTGTAAAGTAAGAAAATTTCACTAGTATAGCTGGGTTTCCTATAATTTCATATGTTTTTATTTGACATTTACTAAAACAACATCGATTCAATAATATGAAATTAAGTAATCGAAAACGATTTTTGTAGAAGGAAAAAAACTGTGTGTTAAAAGTGAACATGTGTTTTAAAAGGTTACCCTCTCACGCTTTTTCTTCGAAACTTTCATTGAACAAATAATGAATCTTAATTCGCAAATAGTGATGTGCATAAAAACTTCTTCGAGCTTTGTACCGTCTACTTTAGTAAGACGTGTACCGTTCGTCATTATCAACGGCTGCGATAAAAGCCCACAATATTCGCGCTATTTCCTATAGTTGTCAGCAATTAGAGTAGCGGGGCGCGGGTGGGGGTGCTGTGACACGTGTGGCCCACATAGTGCGTCCATTGAATGTGCGGACGTGACGTCAGCCAGCTCGCGCGCACCTGCATGAGTCCTGCATCACCCTAATCTGGCACAGATAATGTATTCCCGCCAAAAAACTGCTTGAAAATAACTATAGTTTTTATTACTATACACAGTTGTCGCCTATATAAAATTACAATGCAAAAGCTACTTATTTGTCGACATAATACAGATCTTCCGCCCATTAGTCCATTATGCCGTCCTAGTCCAGTGCAAGCGCATATTTATCACTTACAATTTTGCAACACCATAGTAGTAATTTAGGTTTCTAAACGCACTCCCACAAATTACTGTGTCAAAGATAAACTATCTCATGAACTCATTGTGGCTGTTGGATAACTATTATCACGAGGGTTCTAACCGGGCCACCAGAGTAACTTAAGACTGTCCATGAATGGCAAATTAATGTAACGCTTGATAATTAAGCACTAGAATTTACTTAATTATCTAAAAACCTTTAATTTACAGGTCAATTCTGCGCATAGGTGTGTGAGTGGCGGCGCCGACTCCCGCGCAACCCGCCCCAACATGGCCGGAGGCGCTTTTTTCGCACCATTTGTGGCCGGCAATGCCAGCGCACTCCGCTTCGCCTAATTAGAGTGACTCGTGGTGTGGGTGAACCCGCATAACTTTAACACGCTCAAACGCCCTGCCGCCTTCGTTTATTTCTATATTAGTCGACGACGTCGAACGCAATAATAGGGTCCTTGTAAACGCGTCCACTCAAATCGAATCGTTAATAACTGTTTATAAAATCATAATAATATGGTGTTTGCTCATTTCAGCTCGGGCGGTTCGCGGCGCTGTTCCTGCGCCTGGGCCTGAGTCAGCATGATGTCATGGCAGCGTAATGGGAGCGACCCGGCTCGTCATATCCCATTCCTGCCGCATACTTTAGCCAATCGAGCGATGACAAATCCATTCATCTCCCTATTGTGTTTTGCCGTTATGTATATTCAATTGTCATAGCGCTATTGCATAGTATAAAAGGAAACTACGAAGGCACCAGGACATCACACGAAGCCGGAAGGTTTAGAAGAAAGGAATTACGAAACTGGTTTTCATAATGATTTGACAGATGATTATTTTCTGAGATCATTGTGAAAGCTGATTTTGTTCCTATGTCGATATGAAGACGACATGATCAACGAGTTAAGACGATGACAAGAAAGAAGCAGAGGCCATAATTTTAATATATCTATGCCTAATCATTAGAATTGAGATGTGTAATTTAATGAAATTTTAAAAAATCCTGAATATCCTATATTTTACGTGAATTTTAACCACTATATCAATTAGTTCCTATGTCAATAAAGAGTACAAAATTATAAAGGTATTATGGCACTAGTATGTTTTATGTTTAGAAACTAACGAACAATTAAAAAAATATATATTTTGAAACAATTTATTCTATATTATAATCAATATTTTTCTATTTATAAGCTTCCTAATTATTTATAGCAATATTTTCAAACTGTACTGACAAATTTATGAAATAGTTAAAAAAACGAATATGTACTAAGTATGCTGTATGTATGAGTAGTCTTTTTAATTAAACGTATTTATCAAGTCAAAATGCGCACTATGTTAGTTATATTAGTAGTAGATATTTGTTTAACCACCATTTACGATGCTTTACAGGTGCCGTGACTACAGGCTTAAGTCGGTGGTGGTCCAAGTCAATTCAAGACTAGCGCCACCTATTTCGTTTTTTGTGTGTTTTAAGACAAGTTGTATCTAAATAGAAAAATTACCTTAGAGTTAAAAAAAAATCGACATCGGCAGGACTTGAAACGGCATGCACATCGTGCCATCACGTATAAAATATGAAAAATATTAAAGTTTTCAAAAAATGTGTCTAAATAACTTTTCCTTAACGTTTAGATTTTCCTGTATACATATTTTTAAGTGAGTAATTATTTACTAAGTATTCTAGACGTAAGCGTGGATGTCTCGGCGATAAATCTTTGTGTATTAATTGAAAAGCTCAAATGGCACGTGTATACTATCAACAATAATATAAAAAAAATAATGAGACTTTTTTTGCGTTTATACGATTGTTCGTAATAAATAAAATTAAAGACTAAGTACTGTGTCAATTTTAATAATTCTAACGAATAAAAGATCACTATAATCCTAAGTATCATAGGCTATATAAAGTATAAAATTTTTATACTTTATATATAAATTATCTTTTTTTATACTTTATACCTACGGGTACCTACGGGTACTAAAAGTTAAATAAAGTAACCCACAGAATAAAAAATCACATCCACAAAATCAAATATTTATGATTGTCTTTTACTTTTAGAATTGTTACAATAGACTATCCAATTCAAGTTATATGAGTATAAAAAAAAGAAATTGCGCATTTATACCTTTTTTATTAATATTTAACCGAATAAATTATTTTATATATCTATTGCTACAAAACAAAAAAAAAATAGTAAATAAAAAAAGGATATACGGGTATACGGTTCGTTAGATGCGACTTAATTATTACCGATTCAGCTAGTATTTAATATTTTTGTAAGTACATTTAAAAAGGCGACCGTTTCCACGCTTTTTTCTCACCATTTCTTTGTCACTTTAATCCGGAAACATGTCAAGTCGATAAGTCAACGTGACAGCTGACATTTGTGCGACAATTATCAATGTCATAAGTCACAACCATGTGAGGTTTTTGTGTCCATAATATTTGAAATTAAACTAGTATTGTTCTACCGTTAACAGTTATTGTTAGGAATTAGGATATACTCGTATACATCTCAATCTAAGCTGTTATTTTTTGAAATATAAGACATTGTTATAAACAAGATGGAAGCCACTGAATTTGATGCTAGCCTCGGTGGTGGAGAACACTTACCCAATACAGTTAATAGTTTCAAGTTTGTTTCTTCAAGAAGTATAGAAATTGCAGCGATGACTGAGAGTATTTTGAAGCCCAATAAAACTAAACTGATATTTCAATACCTACCGGTACACATGAGGCGAAGAGTAATGAGCCACAACTGCAAAAGGTTACCTAAGAAGCTGCGAGAAGGCCATATGGAACAACTTAAAAAGAGTGGTTTACCTCCCAAACAAAAGCGACCCTCCAGGAAATTCAGGCGTAGACCGACAAATCTTCTTGAGGAATACACAAAAAGACAAAGAAGAATAGCTTGGTTAGAAACACACATTTGGCATGCAAAGAGGTTTCATATGATTGAAAGATGGGGTTATCGTCTGGCTTATAGACCGTGTGACAAAGCTTTTAGGGCCTGCTATCGGGCATCCTCGGCTCATTGTCTTTTACAAGATATATCTTATTGTCTACCAATTAGAATAACGGGACCCCTAGAAAGTATTGAAAAAATGTTCAGTTATATGACAAATAGATTATGTGGGTTGAGTATCACTGCTAAAGCTTATTTATCTGGCAATAGAGCAGGATTTATTCACATGTTTAAACCAGGCTCATATCCATTTGGGTATGTTGGAAAAGTTGAATTTCTATGGGTACATGTAAACTTAACACCAGAATTAATTTTGTTTGTACATCCGTCACAAGTTAAAGAAATGGAATCCATTATGGTAGGAATTATAAGTGAATCTGACCCTCATAAATGTGACAATAAACAGATGAAATTAATAAGTAACCTAGCAGGTGTAAAAATCCAGGTTCTGTATGAGAGTTTCAATAGATTTCGACTTACTGGACCAAAAAGTCACCCAATTCTCACTCATTGTTTAAAACCTGTGAATGAAATTTCCACTGTAGCCTCAAACAAATGGGTTTGTGAATCTAATAAATTTAATATTGATTTACTACTAAAAGAAAAATATGACTATTGGTCCAACATTTGTAATCTTACCTCACCATCTCAGTTGCCTGCAAGAATGGTCATCGGTTTAACAGTAAGAGACCCTAGATGGAGCCGTCCAAAAAAGAGAACAAAAGCTGAATCTTTGGATTGTAACATTAGTTCTGAACATTTGATAAAAATACCAGATTTTGCATCTTCATCACCCCTTTGGTATACTGTCATCAATAACACTGTGAAAAAAAATGCAATTACAAATGCTAAATTTATAGAGCACATTACCAAAACAAACTTGGTACCAGGTGAAATTAATGAAGATGACCCAAAAATACAAAGCATTCCCATAGTTCTAATCCAGCTACCAGGTTCCCAAAATTCAGAGTATAAAAAAATTGGTAAGAAAATTTTATATATTATGCATACATATTTGTAGAGAACTGTATGTTCAAGAAAACATTTTGCAGACTGGCATGTTCGGGAATTAAAAATAGGAAGTGCCAGTCCCACCATTTTCTTATTTTATCCTCTTTACTGTTTCAGGGTATGGCAGTGGATGGGACATCATTGTACCTTCAGGATATGGACTAGCATTTTGGTTAACATTTGTTATGTTTGGAGCAAGATCTGGTGGCCTAAGAGAAACTGAGCACTTGGCACTAGAGATGGGAGAGTGTTATTTCCCTCCCGACTCTGAATCTGGAAAACTTGAAGAGAAAAGAATGGAGTTGCATCTAAGGGATATATACTTTAAACGGCCACCAAGTAAACGAGTTAACTTTATAAAGCTAGGTATTTCAAATCCATTTAACTACCCTTGGACTATTTTATTGAAAGATTGGAGTGAACAATCTCCTAATGACTTTTTTGTTTTGAGAGACAGAAAAGTTATTAGTGAATTACAGGTAGGATTGTACAACACTAGCAAAATCCATGTTACTGTGTCTTTAATTAATAATAATATTTCTTTTTTGATTTCCAGAATGCCCTCAGAAAAAAAGGAACAATATCAGATATAAGCAATGGTGATTTTTGTTTAGTACCCATTTATTTACACGTCAATGGAACAGGAACTGTAAAGGAACATGCATTAATATGCGTGCCAGAATTTGGAGACCTAATTTCAACTAGAACAATATGTGAAGCCCAGCATGAAGACCCAAATGCTAAAATAAGGAAAGAAAGACGAAAGGACCACTTAAATTTGCTCAAAAAGTTAAGAAGAAAACGTTTGAAGCTTAAGAAGAAGGCTACAACGGTGAGTAGAAAATATTTCTTTGTTTTTGCATATGTTTATTTGAAATGTGGTGAAGGTTTAGGATTGCTGACAATTTTATTGACATTCATTTAATCTCCATCAATTGTTTTTTTTTGGGATTTTAAATTTTGTAGTTTACGCAAGCAGTATAAAAATAAAGCAATGAAAGATAAAAAGGTTTAAAACGCGAAATATATTACTTAACTTATGGTGCAAACAAAAAGAAGAGCAAATTCGCTCTGCATCTATATTAAAAATAAGTACCTATTTATTAATATCAAAGTTGAAAAGTTTTCACTGTAATTTTACAGTGTCTTTAGATGTGGAGTGGAGATTTAAGCTTATAATTAGACTTCTAATTATGGTCTATATCGTTATCTCTACATAACGATGTAATTATTTTTTTATGTTTAGTTAATAAGCCCTAATATGTAATAATTATGTGCAAGTTATGTGCTTTTTCAGAAAAGCACCAAACAAGTGAAACGTAAACCGCATGAGTTGTCAGAATACGTCAAGAATATGAGAGAGCTCTGGGTACCATCAAATATCAATAGCGTAAGGCACAACTGTCTCAGGGAAGTAATGGGCTATGTCTCAAAAGGAGCATTCAGCTTCACCGAGAGTAAATGTTGTGCAATTGGCTATGTAACATTTAACGCTCTGAAACACCTTGTAGATTCCAAATTAAATAAAGTTCTCGTTAGAAATATTAATTCAACGAAGTATAGAATTGCCAATATTCAAATAATAAATAGTCTTTAACCAAATTTGTTTTGTAAGAAGTGTGAGTTGACGTTGACGATAGAGTAATGAAAGATATACTACAAAACTAAGCATTTATTCTTACGTTGCTGTCGTCCAGTCAATATTACTAGCCCCACCAGTTACAAATTATACACCATGCTGATATTAAAGGTTTGATGCTTTAAAACAAATGTCTACAGAGACAACAGACTGTATTAGCAGACTACAAAAACCTTTCATTGAGTATCAGAACATTTTCTAGTTTTACTACTAATGTAGATATTACAACACAATCGTTCAATGTCCATCTATTACTAGATATTGTCTCATTTGATAACATTATTTTTGTCATATCCTGGTTGTCGAGTGAAACAAATTCAGTAACAGCGACTCAACCTTTATGTATATTCCTATGTGAATTTAAATTAGTTGAAATTTAAGTATGTGCTTGATCTTGATACTATAGCAGACTTTTTATATGGTTTATTTTAACTTTTTTAAGTAGATATATCTATTGTAAGTTACCACAGAGATGCAAGGCGATACAAATAAAATGGATAATACAAATTAATTGGCCTATCTGTTGTTATAAATCATATCTTGGAACGTTTTCTAGCTATAGCATCTTCGACAGCTTTCAGTTGTTTTAAGAGTTCCTCTCGTCTGGACACAGACTTTTTAGCTGGTGCTTCCCCGCCGATGGGTGATGTGGCTGATCGCTTCTTACCACTCGCTTCTAGAATTAAATAACCGTTAAAAACCAAGTACTCCTTTTTTTATGGAATGGTGAATAGAATAAAATTTACCCTTTTCGCTAGACGCTTCCATCTTACTAGGAACAGTCACTGCCGCTGCTAAACCAGCGTTGGATTTAGCAGCATTCATCCTATAAAATCGATTTTTTATATAAGACAATCATTATAGACAATCTACATAAAGACCAATTAAATAGTTTATTGTGTTGTGATAATTAATTTAAATTACTTAGCAGAAAAACCTACCTAGGTCTAGCAGCCGCATTTAGCAGCCTCGCGTGCCTCGCTCGGCGCGCTCCCGAACTACCTGAAGTTGATGATGATCGTGATTCGCTCTCAGACTCACTAGATGATGATGATGACTCTGTACCCAAAAGATATTCGATTGTACATTCATTTATACAAAGAATGTCGATGGTTAAATAATCTATGGCGCAGGTGGGATTTAAACCCTCAAATAGGATGGCAAGGTAGCTTGTCGTATAAAATCAACGGTACGCTGTAGGCCGTGTGCACATAATTTAAATATAAATTTAATAAGGACATTAAAATAACTGTTTGAAACGCAAAGTTAACTTCTTTTGAGCAGTTTACCTGAACCAGATGATGACGAGCGCGAATACTTTTTTCTATTTCGGCTACGACTCGACGCTTTGCTGCGTCCATAGGGATCGATTTCATCCTGTAATAAGGTATTATTTATAAATGTATCACCTGGGTTAATATCAAATTAATATTAATGCATCCCCCCTTATCCTCCTGCTTCCTTTATGTATTATCTGACTAAACGCCCTTACTATGGGAGAAGATTGGTGTTACTTGTTATACCTTGTGTCTGTGCGAAGCTGGCGCCGGTGGGTTGGCAGCGAGTTGCCTTGTGGCAGCGGGTGAGGGAGCACGGCGGCGGGGTGCAGGGGGGATTCATAGCTGTTGCCCGGGCCGTCGCCAATCGCCGCTCGCGCACTATCACCGACGGGGACAACCTATAAATATCATAAAACGTTATGTCGTATAGCACACACCAACTAATTGTAATCAAACGATAAGCATCTTCATCTGAGCGATTTAAATATAACAAGAGATCTTTACAGCACGTTATTAAGTAGTACCGCTAGTGGGCAAAAATAATCCTGCAAAAAGAAAAATCCTATAAGCTGTATTATTTGGTGACATTTATTAGCTTGAGAAAAAAAAACAATATTTTCTAATAAATTATTGCTAGTGTGTCCTTTTTTTGAGTGGTAGAAGGTTCACTTGTCAAGCAGTAAGAAACACAATGCGCTAATAAAATCTATATATACCATGCAAAAAACTACGCAACATAAAAAACTACTGCATTACCATATACCATATAACGACCGCTGTGAGATAGAAATCAAATCAATTTTCCTACTGAAGGAGCCGAATATTTCCCACAGCGATCGCAACACACAAAGTGCTACAAACTCACCTTTGCTTGGACGACGACGACGCCCGCCTATTGCGTCGCGTTCCCGGTGTTCCAGAGCTGCGCGAACTGGAATTAGAAGAGCTGTAGGCCCGAGAGCAGGCCGCGGGAGGGGAGAGAGGGCGATGACCTCACGCACACATACAATCACATGTGTCACGCACACGTTAAAACACACACACGAAATAGAAGCAGCGAAATCCCGATGAGAAGGCATGCAAGTAGATTCGATGTCAGTAAGATCAAAACACCGCGTTGTATTATGAAAGCGAAACCCGGCAGGGGAGGGAGGGGAAGCAGAGAGTTTCACATTAGTCTCCTCTTTCACATTTGTCTTATAACAAATTAGAGATATATTCTTATGACGAAGAGCATAAAATGGAAGTGTACAGGCGTGATGATAGCCTATTTGATGATTATTGGTGCAGCATTATACAAGACAGCAAAGGAACAAGCGGGTGCGAAAGTGTTTAGAGAAACGTGTCATGCTCGAAGAATAATACGATTAGAGCTTTTTACAAAGCACTGAAGATAAAGAAAACGACAGGCTCAATAAAGCAGGTAAAATGAAAAAATGTTTATGAGTAGACCATATTACATAAATTGTATAGAACTCATATAACCATTTCCTACTAAAAAAATAACTAACACAACAATAAACGCATAATTTTTAGGTTTAAATAATGTTAGACTTTAATACTCGTGATGGACCATTTTAGAGTGTTTGTAAAGCTCCAGTTATCAGTTACATTACTAATGACCAGATAATAAAATAATAACTTATATGTAAGAACAGTGAAAATTCCATCTATCCATAACCGAGCTTCGATTCCTGTCTGTCAAAAATAAACTAAGATAAAACTACAATACTTATTGCTCTTTTACAGCTACAATTAAATACATAAGCCATATCCATAGATAGTCATGCAACATTAATTGTTTCATCCAACCTTACATGACCGACACTTCAACATCAAATTCTTTCTACATCGAAGGATTGATTATATGTTGGTGCAATGGACGTAATATTGTCTAGCATGTATTTTAGAAGCCATAATATATTAACTAATATTTTCAAATGATAACCAGCAAGATATACCTTGAAGACGAGTAGCTCTCGTCGCTAGATGGCGCTCTTCGCCTACGCGCTGCGGGTTCCGCTCTCATCCAAGGATCCGCCCACTCGTCGCCACGCCCATCCCTCCCTTCTCTCCTTTCGCGACCCTCTCTTCCTTCTCGGCCTTCGCGACGTTCCACTTCAGCCCGTTGGACTATCACTTCGCGAGAAGAACGCACGCGACGCTGGAATTTACATTTTGTTCTTAGTTTAATATACCATAACTATTTTTTAAGCTTAATATATTTAGGTAATTAATAGTTACGTAGAGATACTAAAAATTATGATAATGATAATGCGAAAAATATAGCGTCCATTCCCATTATCAGAATTAGGTATAACTTTAGAATTAGTAAAAAATCACATATGTTAAAAATAACAATTGATTTAGGTAAAACAACGCAAATAAAAATTATCGTTTTAAACATTTGTCAACGCTCCTGATTGGTCGGGTTTATAAACAGTGGTACAAACCACTACACACAACACAGTGCTTCCTAGTGTTAAAACTGTTTTATTCTTTTATTAATTCAATCACTATTATGGATCGACATACACCAATGGCCACTTATTTTGCTTTTAGACGCGCAATTTAAATATTGGATTTTAGCTTATCAAATTATATATATATATATATATATATATAATATAATATATATATATATATATATATATATATATATATTTAAGCGAAGTGATAAAGGAAGGGATAAGAAGTAGCGGTGGCTTATATAGCGAATGCGAGCTTCATAATTCAGTGTCGTGTTTTTTATTAATTCGAAAGTAACAAGTAGTGGGAAAAGTTATTTTGTTCGTTGTGATTTAATTTAGAAGGGAAACCAGTTATTAATTATTGCCGTTTTTTACTATATTCCACTCATGGTCTTCAAAAATATAGATACTCTGGGGTTATATATACAAGGTTGTTAATGAACAATTTGGCATCTTAGTATCATGGACGATGCACTAGCTCACTATTCGCGTATAATACGTGAGCAGTACACATTTAAATAAAACACTTTAACGGTTTAAAACGCGATATATTAGTTAAACGTCGGGCCGAAGTTAAAAATCATTTTCAAATAAGTTTAACTAATATTCGAAACCGTAAGTGTTTTATTTAAATAGGTGAGCAGTTAAATAGAGAGTATGGAGACCGGTGGATTGGTAGAGGCGGACCGACAGCTTGGCCTTCTAGGTCGCCAGATCTGACTCCTTTAGATTTTTATTTGTGGGGCCATGTCAAACTGATACTGAACCTCAGAATGAAGAAGATCTGAGAGAAAAACTGGAGGCCGCATTTATGACAAATTAAAAACAATCGTTTTATTTTAAGATAATTAAATAGAAATTTGAAAAAGCGTGCTCGATTGTGCATTAGTGAAAGAGGTGGGCATTTTGATCAATTACTAAAATTTGTTTAGGTTTAGTGTAAATTATTGTGAAAAAAAAAGGTGATTCGATAAATTAGTGTAAATAATGGTGATTCAACCTAATAAACACGCCGAAATAGTTGAATATGGGTATGTAGGCGCTTGTACATTGTTTTGTCTCAATAATGAAAATGAACGCTAGACTTACATGCCGTTTAACCATTTTGTAAGTGTGATGGGAAATGTTTTTGCCAAAAGTCAGAAGTTCTCTATACATTCTGTGAGCAGACGTTTGGTACATAAAAGTAGTGAATCGTGTAGTGTAAGGTGCGGGACGCTGAGCGGAGGAGAGGGAGGGGGTGCGAGAGAGCGCGCTGCGTCGGTGCATGGTCAGTGACCATGATAACGCGGGAAAAACAATAACATGAAAAAATTTAATAACTTCGTGTCTGCGAATAAAGACATTTGGCGTGTTTCAGCTTTAGTATCAACAAAGAATAATCTTGTATATAAGTTACATTAAAAAAATCAGTCAAATTCCCATTAAGTTAGTACATCGTACCTTATGATGCATGGGATCTTCTGGTGGTACTCCATATTCGTCGTAGTACGGCGGACGCTCAAAGGGCCGCTCGCGATCCATGCCGCGCTCCCTCTCATAAAACCTCTCGCGTTCGTCGATTGGTCCTCGAGGAATGCGGCCCCGATACGGCGCCGGCGCACCATAGCCGCTGAAATGAATTTTATTTATATTGTTCTTCAACTTAGTGTTCTAAGTTGAATTTTTAGTTATTGAGTATAATAAACTTTTATGTTGTTTTAATGGTAGATTTGCTTTATGTTGTATACAAAATAAAAGTTAACAAGTCATATTTACTTTTTATATTTTTTGATATTAGGGTAAGACAGACTAAGATGAAATTGGAAGTACTAGTAGTATACAACTAGATGCACTGTCGACTTATTTTCGCTTTATAATATTTATGTAGTTTAAATATGTTGATAACATTCCTTCTCTTTGTCTTTTGGTGTTCTATATGTAATGGCGTTGTATAGTATAATATGTACAAATTTCATTCTTAAAGTGACACAGTGGTTAGTTAATAAAATTACCGACTTTTGTACTGTTGTGTAAATAAAGCCCTTTAACAGTTTAAATTCGCGAAGTGCACCCAAAAGTGGGATTAAAGTTAAAATAATTTGTCAAAAAGTTTTACTTATACACCAGTGTTTTATTACAAATTACTTTCATTTATAAAGTAGCCCATGAAGTAAAAAAGCCCATTACATAAAAAAGACATGGCCATTTTTAAGTTGAGCCAAATTCAAACTAGGTATATAAAAAAACTACACGCGTTATACATTTCTTAAATCTAATGAAGGCTCTACAAACTTGATGCTATACCGATATATCTCAGGATCCCTGACCGGCGGTGGTTCGTGGTGGGGCTGTGGAGGCGAAGCTCCTACAGCGGCGGCCGCGTATGCCAATTCTGCGTCTGGATCATGCACAACACCACCCACGGACAGGTGCAGTTTCTTCTCTTCAAAGTCCATATCTTGTTCTTTGCGCTTGTTGGCTATCCTTAACATCTGTGGATACAAATTTGTGTTATTAAAGTGTATTCTATTGTATTGAGATAAGCATTTCTCTCCTATCACAGGTAACAATAATTTATGAACATAGGAATACGGAAAAACTTAATTTTGTAATTTTTCTACTGATATAAAACAATTTAGTAGTAGGTAGTAAGACTTTGGAAGAGATTCCAAATAATATTATTTTAAATTAAATTATAAGCCTTAATAACAGAGCCTCAGACCTCTGGCATAAAAGAAAAACTGAAATTAATGCATCAGAATATTCAAGGTATTAAAAGTAAAAACTTGAAATTGAATTATTCCTTAATAATTATAAAATTGATATAGTGTGTATAAAATAACACTGGTTAAAGAAGTGACATGAAGTAATTGTCCACCATTGTAAAAAAAAAGGGGGGGGTTTTTTTTGGGGGGAAAAAAACACGGGGGGGGGCCCTTTTTTTTTTTTTTTAAAAATTTTTAAAATTAAAGGAAAAAAAAAAATGGGGGGTTTTTTTTGGGGGGAAAATTTTTTGGTTTTTTTTTTTTGGGGGGGGGTTTATTTTTTGGGGGGGGGTTTTTTTTTTTTCCTTTTTTTTTTGGGGCCCCAGGGGGCGCCCCCCCCCCCCCCCTTTTTTTTATAAATTTTTGGGGTTTTTTTTTTTTTTTTTTTTTTTTTTTTTTTTTTTTTTTTTTTTTTTTTTTTTTTTTTGTTTTTTTTTTTTTTTTTTTTTAAAGAAGTGACATGAAGTCCCCATTTTATTTAATACATTTTTGGTTCACTTATTGATTAAAAATAAGACTAAATGCCTTACGTTTTTAACAACAAACATTAAATGCAGTATATATTATAGTATACAAGTATAGTGAATATATAGGTTTTGTCGAAAACGCTGTGTTTTTGGGTATAACTCTCGATTGTAAACTCCAGTGGGAACCACACATTAAAAATCTTTCAAATAAACTAAGCTCTGCAGCCTTTGCTCTAAACGTATTTGTATTACGTACAGCCAAGCTTGTTACTTCCATAGTCTAATGTCTTATAGTGTCCTATTGTGGGCAATGCAGACGATATTAAAATTATATTTGTTTTGCAGAAACGGGCTATTCGAGCGATTTGTGGTCTTTCTCCACGAGAGTCCGTTCGATATAAGTTTAAAGCTTTGAATATTCTAACGCTGGCAAGTCAATACATGTATGAAAATGTTTTGTATGTGAGAAAAAACGTGGATACTTTTAAAACAGATGGCAGCTTTCATCAGTACAATACACGTAATAAGGACAAAATAAATGTACCAAACAAAAGGCTCCATAAAAGTTGCAGTTCTTTTCAAGCTAACTGCATACTTTAATAAAATCTCCAGAAAAAGTGCATGCACTCTCAATAAATATGTTTAAATCGTATGTGAAACAAAAACTGCTTGGAAAGGGTTATTATGACGTTAATATTTAAATAATAAAAATGCTTGGGGTGTGGAGGAACCCGCTCTTACAAGGAAAAATATGTAGTGCACTAAAAGTACGTGAAGAATGTAAAATTAAACTGGGCGATAAAAGGAGTGCGGCGAGTTTATTGCCAGTTCTTCTCGTTTCTTCTACGCCCTTGATTTGAGAACTGGTAGTAAATGTAAAGTTAGATTCTTTAATTTTGTGACGTACACAGTTACCTACATGAATAAATCATTTTTGACTTTGACTTTACCTCTTTAGCGGTGCGCAGTCCCCTCTCCCACGCTGATTCAGGTGGCGCAACATCCCGTGGGGTCACTGCGGGAAATCCAGCAGGCGGTACACCTCTCACCACATCAAACATATTGTAATTACCCTTATCCGTGACTCCTGGGTGGAGGAATCTGTAATGAGTAAGACTTTGCTTTAAAACCCTTTGCAGTACTAAAGAATGCTTAAAACATTTTTACGATTGGATTATGGAAAATGTCTCTCTAATTACAACTGTTAAATAAATAAAAATTTGCAATTTATGTTTTGAATATTTATCAACTTTAATTCTAATATTACCTGCAACTAACACCCCAAGTGCATGCTCCTCTCGAGAAGAACCTACAGACAGGTTTAGGTTCACTTTCCTCCGGGCGTTTTTCCCCCTCATCTGAGACTTCGCCCTCCTCTAGAGAAGAGCCGCGAGAGCGTTTACCAGGCTTTGACTCTTCTTCTATAATAAACAAGTAATTGTTCATTTTAAGAATAGCAGCTGCGTTGCAGTTAATACAACCTGCCTACACGTCGATGATTGTCACTTAAACAGAAAAAAATACATACCCTTATCTGCATAGTGATCATCCAACTCTCCATTAGATTGATCTTTTGGCTTTGGCTCAACACATTCCCCTTCTTCTGCTTCAAAATCTAGTTGTTCTTCACCATCTTCCGTATTACTGGTTTTTTCTTGGGGGACCTAAAATTTCATACAATACAACTAACAAACATACATCTTAATGATTATTTCGGTAGTATAAACACTTATCATAAATTTAAACTGATTGTTAATATTCAAATTAAACTTACTTTTGTCATTTTAGTTTGTTCCTTATCATTCTCAAACTTTTGTGACTGTCCATTTACAATGTCTTGCTTTTTTGTCTTTGCCTGTAATTTCACATTAAAATTCAAAGCAATAATACATTTGGATACTATAATCTTCTTTCTTAAACATTAAAATGTTTACTTATTATCAAACAAAAACGAATAAAAGTCCATAATAGTAAAATGCTTACCTTTGCTGTTTTCTCATCAGCAGAGTCTAAATCAGAAACGTCAGATAAATCTTCATGACTTAAGCTCTTACTCTTTTTTGTCAATTTATCATTTGTGATAGATTTACTTCTTGATTTACGATCTTCTTGGTCTGACTCCATCTCTCCTAAAATGGAAATAATTTTATGAAAACTATTTGATAAGCATGAACTGGTGATAATATTGCATCACAATCAAAAAAACACAACATACCATCAGAAATTTCTTCAGTATCCTTAGCATTTGTTCTCTTATTATATGTTGAACTGGTACTAGATCGACTTGACTCTGATTGACTCCGCTCCCGGGGCATGGCCACCATTTTTTGCTCTGCTTTAGTGTGCCTTCTCCACTCAGTGTTAACTGCTGTTCTCTGAGGTGACTGTGATAAGGCCCTTTCCGGTGAAGGTGATAATGAATGGGCTCTTGTGTCAGGATTTCTAGGTGATGTGACTTGAGAAGCTGAATCTGGTGAAACAGGTTGAGATCGAGTGGCAGGGGATGTGACTATGCTATCACTCTGTGGGGTCTTAGGGCCAGAGGTGTAGTGTTCTGGTTGTTCTGGTGAATCTATATTAGAACCTACACTTGGTGATTTAGGTTCTTCTGGAGACTTTGGTCCAGCTGGAGAAGCTGGTGTGGATGTTTCAGGAGAATTTATATCAGAATGGGCACCACTCAAGTTACTTGGTGTTTGTGGTCTATTAGGTGATCTCTGGGGAGGTGGAGATCGACTGTCAGGAGAAGGGGACCTTGGGCCATGCCGTCTAGGTGATGGGGAATGTGGGGGTGATTTATTATCTCTTTTTGAACTATCTGATGATGAACTACGTCTGCTTCTACTCCTTGAACTGGAACTACTACTTCTTGATGTTGATTGTGTGTCGCCAGCATCGCGAGAATCTTCCGAATCCATTCCTGTAAAATGTATTTTGAAAACATATTAATTTTGCTCTCATCTGCGAACGCCCCAGCCCTTATAAACACCAACAATACATTTTTATGCATATAAATTTGTGTCAAATTAAAATAAGAGACAAATTCAAATGTTTATTTACGAAAATTGAGTAAAGTCATCAATGAAGATCTGAAATGTAAAATTAATATTCCGAAAACCTTGAGTGTAAAATCTTAGGTTATTTCGATTAAAATAGATAATCAAGGCTTGATTTTATTGAATTACTACTTTCTGATGTATGTAGAGACACATCCAGCCTTACCTTAGAGAATACGCCTCGTCGCCAGAATCGGTGGCACTTTACACTTTTCATTTTTATGACTTTTTCAACTTTTAATCACAACACAAAACGAAACTTAGGTCTGTCACATATACTTGTGATAACTTTAAACTTTCTAGTAAACGATAAACTGACGAAAACTTATTAAAATCAACACTACATCAATATGGCTGTGATACGGGAGGAATATATATAATAACATAAATAATCACTTTTAAAACTGACGTTAGGATTACTTACGCCCTTACCTTAACTTAGGAAGAATAGGCGAAAATTCTTGAAGTATATAATTATTAAAATTATAAGTAAAAATCTTCAGTTTGCGCCGTAAACCTTTCCTAGCGCGTCGCAGCTCAATCAACATTCAACATAAGTGTTGCCTTTAACAGCACTTTTAAGTTGACATTTTGTTTGACTAGATACTGATGGCAATTTTGTGGTATATTTAGGACCACTAGAATATCTTTAAAAATAAAAACATATGTTTATATCTTATGTAAACACTGTCATAAATCGTACAAATTTTCATTAAAATCCACTTAGCCGCATTTGCATAGCGCTTTTTTTTACGCTAAGTTGAGCCAAAGTTGCTTAAATGTTACCAAATTATCAGTAACATGGCAACAGTTTAAATTTTCCAGAGACTATACAGTAACAGACATAAATAGAAAGAAGATTAAAGAAAAACCGCTTATGCGGTTTTTTCTGTGGCTGTCTACAACATAGACTATACAACGAAGCTTATGATCTTGACAGATGTATGCTCTGTGCGTATTTTTTGAGACTTGTGCCAAACAAGAATAAAAAATAAAACAAACGTGGCGGGAAAATAAAAATCACATACTCTAATAGTATACATAAGGAATAAAATAATTACTTTTCGAAAGTGATAAAACACATACATTTTAGTAAAAATGATTGAACAAGCCCTCGACGATAATATATCCGAAAACGATGACGAAGAAAGTTTTTTCCAAGATGTAGATATCTTGCAGAAACATGGGATAAATGTGGCTGATATAAAAAAACTAAAAGGTGCTGGTATATGTACAATAAAGGGCATTCAAATGTCTACAAAAAAGAAGCTATGCAATATTAAAGGATTTTCAGAAACAAAAGTAGACAAAATAAAGGAAGCATGTTTAAAAGTGGTCACTCTTGGATTTATGACAGCACTGGAAGTTAGTGAGAGGCGTAAACATGTCTTTAAAATAAGCACTGGTAGTATTGAACTTGAGTAAGTTCTGTGTGAGATATCGTGAAATTAATAAAAGCTAGATGTTTTAAGTACTGGCTGCTGATTATAAGTCCTTTTTATTTGTTCAGCAAACTCTTAGCTGGGGGTGTTGAATCTATGGCTATAACTGAAGTATTTGGAGAATTTAGAACTGGTAAGACGCAGCTTTCTCATACTTTGTGTGTCACGTCGCAAATTCCGAATGGCTCTGGCTACCATGGCGGGAAAGTCATGTTTCTTGATACTGAGCACACTTTGTATCCTTTTAATAATACTTACCTTTGATTATTTCACTAAATCTTTTTTAATGTTACGTCGCCGTATTAAATTACGTCAGCACTATCTCATTATTTATATCCTTAATTCAATGTAATAGTCGACCTGATAGACTCCGTCCGATAGCCGATAGATTCAATTTGGACCAAAATGCTGTCTTAGATAATGTCCTGTATGCACGAGCGTACACGTCTGAACATCAGGTATATACATTTTATTTCCACACGACATGTAAAAGCACACAATACACTTAAACATACAGACAGTACATATGTAAAACTGCTGTACGAACTTTGATAATTAATTTGAAAGAAAGATTACATTAAAATATTGTCTATAATTGGAAAACTAAAAAAAGAACCTATTTTTATCCTTAATTCAATCCTTAAAGGCCGAGTTATTAGACTTCGTGGCGGCGAAATTTCACGAAGAGGCCGGCGTTTTCAAACTTCTCATTATCGACTCGATAATGGCTTTGTTTCGAGTCGACTTCTCAGGACGCGGAGAACTCGCCGACCGACAGCAAAAACTAGCCCAAGTTCTATCAAGACTACAAAAGGTCAGTGTATATATAAACGTACTTATAAGCTTGGAACAAGCAATTCTTATAAGAGAGATCGTTTGCGTTTTACTTCGTTAAAAAACAAAAGAAATTAAAAATATGGCGTATTCCCAGAAAACAACCTAACGATGGGTAAAAAGCATCTAACGTTCGGTCGTAATTAAAATTACTTTTCTAATATATATCGTAATTACAACCGTTATTTGTGATTTTTCAGATTATTAGTTCTTTGTAAAAATATTTAACGACATTTACAATTAGTCGTTTCGTGATAAAAAAAAATGGAGGGAAACATGACATATTCTCTCGGGGGAAAAGGACGCCTTATTCTGGGTCTCATACTATAGATAAAAGAGTAATGTGTAAATACGTAATATAGATGCATGTTTAATAGTTCATCAGACAGACGCGTGTAATGCATAGATAAAGACATCCGGCTGTACTGCGCTACAGATATTTTTATTTGGGTAGCTACAAGCCGGATAAGATAAAATGATTTAAGAAAAAAACATTTATCATCTACGGTCATAGGTCAATGTTAGATCCTTCTCAGGCTGATTATATTAAAGCCTGTAGTATTTTTCTAACAATGTTTTACCATTTTCGGATTTGTTGTTGCAGGCCATTGCTCTCCATGTAGTAAATAAAAGTTGTTTGTATTTACTGTCTTATTTAAATAAAACTTATTTGGAAATTATTCTAACTACGGTCCGACGCTTTTCTGTGACCACGGCTGCTGCAAAGCATCCGAAACGTCGGGCCGAAGTTAAAAATAATTTCCAAATAAGTTTAACTAATATATCGCGTTTTAAACCGTTAAAGTGTTTTATTTAAATGTGTACTAAGTACTCGCGTAAACTATAGACAGTATTCAGTACTAGTCTTGTATTATATTATTCGTTCGCAAGTCTGCTGGAAAACGGTGTAGCCGTTTATACATTTTTTTAGAAAATTTACAAAAAATAACTTAATTAAATATAAGACAAACAATTGTATTGTTTTATTAGATTTCAGAAGAATACAACGTAGCAGTGTTCATTACGAACCAGATGACCTCGGACCCAGGTGCTACCCTATCATTTCAAGCTGATCCCAAGAAGCCGATTGGTGGGAATATCTTAGCTCACGCCTCAACCACAAGAATTTCCTTGCGAAAGGGGCGCGGTGAAAACCGAATAGCTAAAATATATGACTCTCCAGATTTACCAGAAAGCGAAGCTACATTTGCTATTACAAGTGGGGGAGTTGCTGATGCTAAAGATTAATAAAAAAATATTTTAGAATTAAACAGTTTTTTTATATAAAGTATAAAAATTACCGTCCCCAAATGAAAAAGCAGTGAAGTATAATTACGTTTTCAGTCCGTGGATTTTCAAATGTTCGAAGACAAAAATAGGTCGACCGCGCATCTTGTTGGGTTATTTTATCGCTGGGGTATTTAACCTTCCATCTAATAAAAACTGGCTTGTCAGTTTAATAAAAAAAATCTATCTGCGAGAGGTGCTCAGTAGTTCAATTGGTTAGAGCAACAGCACGAAACGCTGTGGTTGCCGATTCGAGGCCTGCCCGAGTCCTAAAGTCTCTCAATTTGTACTCGGTTTTAATTTAAAAAAGGCTATAGATAAATTAACTGTGAATTCTTACGAGTATATATTAAAATAATAATTTGAAAATCAATGCATACGTGTATGTTTTAATATATCCAAGAATTAAGAACATTAGTTGCGAATGAACTTACAAGGAACGACGAAACTGAACTAACAATTTTGTTTCTTTGTTAAAATAATAACAGTTCATTGGTATATCAGTTAACTTTAACTCGTTATTGAGGGTCCGACTGCTTAATTGAGTGGAGTGACTCAAGGAGCGATAACTTTTGAACCCTAATCAGAGAATTCCAAATCAAGGCGCACGTTACGACAAAGTCCACACTTCATTCAAATCGCCAGTCCGGCGTCATAGTGGCGTGACTTTATTGAGCCAATTGTGTCCACGAGACACGAGTTTGCGATTAGATAAACGTCCATGGATTGTCGCCTAGATACAATCAATGAGTGTTCCAACTTGCAGTACAATTTCTTAAGAAACTTTTTATATGCTTAAAGCTCACTAGGTCTTAAATAACCCGTAGTGAAAACAGATTAAACAGGGCTGCTGTTCGGTCTCAGTAGATTATCTTTCAGAAGCGCCTAGTCTTATCTCATTTTAAAATAAGGTATCAGAGATAAATATTACAAGCTACAAAAGCACTTAATAAAACCTCTTTTTACGCAATTAATACTTATATAATACCTAATATCGATTATGCTATTCCATACATGTGATTAACGTTTAAAAATAGTGAAGCAGCTAAAAGTTATTTGATTTAGGCAAGATTATTATGATTACGTATTGTTTATATTATGGTGAAAATAAAAATAAATACCTATTGCGCTATTGCCATTAGAGGAGGGTCAATTGTCACTGTCATTTTAGATGAGATGATTAGATTCCTTCGATATTGTCATACGATTTGTCAGTTTCGGAGTGAATTTGCAAGTGTACAGAAGTCGGCGTTGTTCATTAGTTAAACAAAATCATTAAAACGTTATTTAAATTAGTGTACGTTCATGAAAATTAAATCAACAATATTTTGAAGATTGCCGTGCATGTTTGTCAAAATTTTCTAATGGGTGAAAATACAGAAAAGAATCAAATACGCGTTTGGTGTGATGGGTGGTGAGTTATTTAAATATATTTTTTGCGTCTATTAAATCACGTATATAATTGTATTACATGGTTAGAAACATGTTAGAAATGATTTTAAATATGCATAGGTTTATATATCAGTTTAATTCATGTTAACGTCAGTATGCCTATGCGGTATTTCAGTCGTTCAATGCTATTCTTATTCACGTCATGTTTTTTTATTAAATTTAAATAGTCAAGTATTTATTTTTAATTTTTGCATATGTATATGAAGTTATTACTGACTCTTAGCTAACCTTGCCCATATTTATAAAATATTTTTTTTGAAAAAGTTAATTTTAGATATTACCTCTCTATTATAGCCTTGATTTCAACAAGCATTTTGTGCTGTAACATCATAATAATTGCTGTGTCTACCCTTTTTCAGCTATGATATGGTCCACTTTGGACATGCGAATTCACTCCGGCAAGCAAAGGCACTTGGTGGTGTATTAATTGTTGGAGTTCACACAGATGAAGAAATATCTAAACACAAAGGGCCACCAGTGTTTACGCAAGAGGAGCGTTATAAAATGGTTCGTGCAATAAAATGGGTTGATCAAGTGGTGGAGGGTGCTCCGTATGTCACAACTCTGGAGACATTAGACAAATACCAATGTGATTTCTGTGTGCATGGAGGTATGATATTGGGAACTAAAATTTTATTTGTATATTTGTAACATTAACACAAAAATAAAATAATTAATAAATTGTTTATTTAAATTTGTCTCTTACGTAAACTTTTGCTTCTAAATATGACAGACACATGCAACTAATATTGTAAATAATCAAAATAATAATAATGTTTTGGAGTGATGCAATCATTTTTTTTATGTCATCAAAATGAATTATTTCAGACGATATCACTGTTACAGCTGAAGGTATAGACACATATCACTTAGTAAAGAGTGCTGGTAAATACAGGTAAATATCTTGTAACTTCTAAAATGTAAATTTGTAGGGCTTGACTCTGACTATAGGAAAAAAGTTATGGTTTTGACAAGAAACTTTATTTTGTATTAGTAGTAAAATACATTACAATAACAGACCTGTTATTGGAAGGGGTTACAACTTACATACTTTTTTAAATATGATTTTATTTACAATGTTTTACTGCAAGGAGGAAATGGGGAACTGGGTGAGATGGTCAAAGCGGACAACGTGACTGATCACCTCTGCCAAGGTGTCCCCGATAGAAAATAATAATAATAATGTTTTACTTGTCTAATGAAAGAAGTATTAATGCAGAACTATTATTTATTTACAGAGAAGTATCAAGAACAGCTGGTGTTTCCACTACAGATCTTGTTGGGCGGATGTTGCTACTTACCAGAGAACATTTCAAGTAAACAATATTTTTTTCTTACGTCCTAAATCTAGTTACTGTGCACGCAGATGAGGTTTACAATTTCCTGTCACTGAGTGTTAGAGTTTAATTGAGATTTCTTTAATTATAAGATCTTTATTCTAAATTAAAGATACATGTTATTACTTCATTCATATATTGTATTATAGTGAAAGTACTACAATATAATTATGATATGCTTATCACAAATTAATCATACATTACCCCTAACGTGAATAGAGATAATAATTTTAATCACATACTAGTACACCTTTTGCATAGTATTGATAATTTGGGACAATCTATACCAACTGTTTTATAATTAGTATGATAAATATGTTACAGATATATTTTCTGTTATAAAATGCTAGAGCAATGGGGTACATCTTTTGTTTGAGAGATAAAATTGTAATCCTTTATTCATTAAAATTAAAAATTGATGTCTTTGAGAAATTATCTGACTCCAATAGGGCTAATAAGAAAAAGACATGTCTTACAATTAAAAATATAAACAGCTTGCAAAAATTTATTTAGCCCATTTATTTTATCTGTGGGCACAGCTAGCTTAAATTTGTATTATCGGATAAGTAATAGTATTTATTGCCCTCTAGGAGAGGTGACAAAGAATACACGGTTGCGCTAGACCATTCATCAAATCTCGGCACAGACTCCACAGCGCGATCGCCGTATACAGGGTGCTCGCAATTTTTACCCACCACGCAGAAAATCATACAGTTCAGCAGTGGCCTGTCGCCGAAACCTACAGATAGGGTAAGTTGAATTATTTATTATGATTATGCAGTTGTGTATCCGTAGTTTGAAAGTCTTTTTCACATGTTATAGATTAAAAATCGATTTTAGATGGAAAAATAATAATACGACACGGGTTGTGCCGGCGTCCACACGTTCCGTGCTGTTGCTCTAATCAATTGAGATTGGACACGGTAGCTTGTGTAGTATGTGTATTGTGTTTGGCAAAGGACATAGATTTCTGAAAATATCAAGGAGTTTCTAAAATAAAAACGATTGTATAAATGTTTTTATTTCATCACTCATATAATTAAGCCCATATGCTTGAGTGATTGACAAAATCCATTTGTTTCCATTAATTGAATCCTTGATTTTTAGCCAAAAATAATTGATTTGAAATCTTGTAAACCTAAAGTAGATCACACGTTTTAGACTATTCTTTAAAAATGTCGAAAAACAACATATACTTCTCTCATTGACGGACAAGTTATTGAATATTTTCTTCGTTTCGAATCGATTTAACCATAAAATGTGACATAAACGTCTTGACTAGCGGAAAATTAAGATAACATGGTATTTACGTACTATGTAGACGGCTACATAGGTGTGAAATCCCATAACCCCACGTCGGTCATGGGGCGTGCACGTTTCAGTGTTCATTTAGAGAAAAGTCGTACACATTTAAATAAAACACTTTTAACGGTTTAAAACGCGAAATATATGTGTTATTATTTTTAATACGGCCGTCATCCGAGCAACAGAAATATAACCGTTAAAAGTGTTCTATTTGGATGATCGATTTTCTTTATAGACCTGTGCCTAGCCTTTTGAAAAAAAAATCCCGAGTTTAGAACCTCGCTTTATGCAATGCTTGGCTTGCCTAACCATTTAGCTAACAGTTAAAATTAAACTGGAATTATTCGGTAGCGTATATTGTTCTTAGTCATTGTATTAATACGTTTCGCCTATCGTTTGTAAACATTTTGAAAACCATTGTTTGGCTTGCATAATATTGAAGTGGTTCGATATTCTTATAACTCATGAAGATATGAAAGAGATTTTTTGATCCTTACCTTGCTATTATATTACTATACAATTTTCGTGATACTTTCACTATTTTGTAACTATATTTTATATAGTTTTAATGTAAAAAGGTTTTATAAGAAACGTAAAAAAATAGCTTCTAGTATGGTCTGTGGTTTAGGCGAGTACACATAAAAAAGTACTAATACCTACTGCAAAGCTTTCGTAATCGCAAATATTCATAACATATTACGTTTTACGCCGTTAAAAGTCTTTTATCCGCTATGATATAGTTATTTTCATTAAAACATTACGATAGTTTACCTATTGCCTTGTCTTGTCTCTTGTTCGTAATATTTATCTTCAACTAAATACATCCATTTCAAATCAATACTTTTAATCCGTAATAACTTCTACACAACTAAACCTTGAACTTAGATCATCGATGTAGTCGTAACTAGTTGTAACAGTTCGGAAAATTATTATTTTCAAGGTCCTTCATTCTATGCTTATTAAACGTTAACGTAGATTGAATTGTATTTTCTAAGTAGGCACCTAAAAGCAATTTAAAAAAATACGAATTTACTATACAAACCAAATTTTTTTATGACTGAGGAGAACAGACGAGCATGTGTCACTTGATGGTAGGTGAAATACCCCAGATGTTATCATCTAAACAAGATGCGCTGTCGGTCTATTTTGGTATTGGATATTCGGAAATCCACAGGCTGAAACCAAATCTTGATTAAAGTTCGAGACCCATTTAATATTTAGATTTCCAGACGAAGTTTAAAATGTTTCAGAAAAATTAAAAATAAATGTCCATAAAATTAATTAATTTCTTACTTAATTTTTACTACATTTGATTTATTAGCTTTGAGACAAGTAATATGTTTGTACATCTTAAAATCTGGCCAAGGTTATGTTGCTGATAATGTCTTGGAACCTAAATATTTTAATTATAGCTACTGATATAGTTGTTATAACCTTAACTCATAGTGTTGTTAGTGTGGAAAATGGCGCCGTTTATTTTTAACCTGAAATAAGCGTTATGTCAGATAAAAGAAGTAAAAATATTTTACACTCAGAGATAACGTTTAACTATTGTGGTTAACGTTGATTAACGTCCAAATGATTCTGCGGTAAACGTAAATAATACACAACTAGCTGGTGCCCGCGACTTCGTCTACGCAGGGTTAGGATTACGTAGTATCGCGCATTTAAACAAAATTATGTCATAAACGTTAGTTACACATAATTATGTAATGTATTATATATACAATACATCGTTATGCCGTAACTAATGTTTTATGGCAGCGCACGCCAGAATAGCTCGCAGAAAGGTAAGTTTTTTCCTAGTTACTTGACACTTAATGTCTTATTTTAGACAGCTCACACGATATCTTTATAAATTGTAGCCTATGTGTTATTATGTATGTAGTATATGTGTTATTCTGATGTATAAGCTATATTATTGCGTGAAAGAGTAACAAACAATTTAAAAATCCAAAATAAATTGAAAAAAAATTCGACTCGGGCAGGACTTGATCCTTTGAAACCTAAATCCATTTTTTTCAATTTATTTTCGATTTTTTAATTATATAGTGCATTCATGTGCAATAACAGGTAAAAATTAATAAAAGTTTTCAAGAGTAACAAACATTCATCCACACATACAAACTTTCACGTTTATAATATTAGTAGGATAATGTATAGTTTAAAACTACAGACCTAAATTACCTCTCTCTGAGTAACCCATAATGATAAATGATTTTCCCAATTTTTTTCACATTTCACGCTGTATCTTCGCTCCTATTAGTTCCATCGCGATGATTTATATTATACCCTTCCTCGATAAATGTTCTGACTACCACAAAAACAATTTTTCATTTCGAACCATTAGTTCTTGTTATTAGCGCGTTCAAACAAACAAACTCTTCAGCTTTATATATTAGTATAGATTCTATGCCGTTATCAATGTACCTGGGCCACTAAATCATACTTTTTTCTTTTAAACATTTTCAGGTAGTCTACGTAGCGGGTGCATTCGATCTATTCCACGTCGGGCACCTCGACTTTTTAGAGGCTGCGCATGCGCAGGGCGATTTTTTGATCGTCGGCCTTCACACTGATCTAGAAGTGAACAGATATAAGGGGTCTAATTACCCTATCATGAATCTCCATGAGCGAGTGTTGTCTGTACTCGCCTGTAAGGTATGTCTATAGTCATTCATTCTATACATTATAACAATATTTAGGTTGATAATTCACACATTTTATTCTATATATTTAGGTCTTTATCTTATTACTAGCTGACCTTGCAAACTTTCTTTAGCTAAAAACGGTTCTTGTCAGGTAATCTTAAAAGATAGACATATACTGTTCTGATTATTTATTTAGATTCTTTAAAGAATAATTTATAATTCTTTTATAATTTTTTAACAGCATTTCGAAACATTTTGGCAAAGGACGCAATAGGAAGATATTATTTCCCGATTTTCCCACATTTCCCACTGTTTCTTTGCTCCTATTGATATGTTGTAGCCTATATATGACTTTCGCCGATAAACGGTCCAATCAACACGAAAATAATTTTTCAATTCAAACAATTAGTTCCTGAGATTAGGCCGTCCATACAAACTCTTAGCTTTATAATATGACTATAGATATGTATACCAAGTTATAATAGTTGAGAGGCATGTTTATATTTGCTTAAAATTGTATCTATATCTTTATATGAGTCAAAATTAATACATTGTTCGAGCGTCTTGTAAGTTAAATGTTGTCTATTATATATTCAACCTAGTCTGTGTATGTCAACACATTTCTCTTCTCCTAATCCTAGAAAATATCCTAGTTGATAAAAATATAATACTTGTCGTTAATATCGCAAATGTCAAGATTAAGGTAATTTAATTGAATTAGCATACAAGTCGATTGTAATCAATTTGTCTTGTAACCTTGCTATTGTTAAGACATGAATTGCTTTGAATGCTGTAAAAAACAATGACCATGCCATTATCGACACGCTTTTTACAGATTTGCTATGTGAGTCCAGTATTTTGATGTTAGATTAATGTGAACTTTTTTGGGCCACTTTCGAACCCTGGATCTCGTGGTAGAATTTTATCACGGAGGCCTTTCAAATACGATAGATGATGAGAAAAAAAAAAGTTAACAATTATCGTTGCAGATTTTACAGATATTGTACTATAAGCCTAACTAAATCCTTCCAGGATGTATTTTACTGAGCTGTAAATGCAACTTCCTCTGAGTTGGTTAAATTTTATAAATTATAGTATACATTTATGCATTACACAGAAAGTAGAGAAAGTTTTAAAACATAGTTTTCTATACAAGTAATTTCCTTGGAGCAAATTAAATACGGGAAGAATGTTGTACTAAAATGTGACTAGCAGAAACACATTGTCTCTTTTCAGTATGTTCACGAGGTGGTGATAGGTGCACCCTACAGTGTGACTGCGGATCTCATGGATCACTTTAATGTGGACGTTGTGTGCCATGGTGCGACGCCCATCGCGTTGGATGCGGACTCTTCCGACCCCTACACAGTACCAAAGGAACGTAGCTGCTTTAAGGTAATAAGATTTCTTTAAAAATAATGTGAAGTCAAAGAATTAAATGCTTAGTAATATTTCCTCTGACCCCATCCATATACCCTAAGCTAATAATTTACAAATACTTTAATTAAATTTCATATATTACCCCTTAAAAGAAACTTAAGAATGCAGTTTTTTCAAATACAGATCCTAAATTCTGGCAATACCATGACAACAGAAGACATAGTACAAAGAATAATATGCCACCGACTGGAATTCGAAGAGAGAAATTCAAAAAAGGAAAAGAAAGAAAACATCGCAATAAAAGCAGCAGCTAAAAAACATTCTACGCAGAACGGAGATTGCAAGACGACGAAATCAGAAATCGCGTAAAAATCTACTCTTACAGTATGCGCACGATTCATTTTAAACATTACCACATTTGACATTAGATTGATATTTAAATGACATCTCAAAGTTACTCGTAATATCGCCTAATGTTGACTATATTGCACTAAATATTAAAAAAGGATTTGTGCAGTTTCAAATTTAGAATGTGGCTGTAAAATTGTATTCAAATGTCAAATGTGGTCTATTTATGTGGCCATAAGGCCAAATTTTGGCCAAAGATGTCGAAATCAAGTGTGCAAAAGCTTTCAATGTTGACTAAAATTGTTATAAAGTAGTCTACAGTAGCCCTTTTAATCTGTATTTAAAAGCATGGAATATATTAAAATAAATTTAGCAGCAAACGCCTATAAAATTAATAATATCAAAATCATTCCATTACTCAATGAAAGTAGTCTGTAAACTAGTGGTTATTCCAGATCTTAAAAAAATCTTTGTTGTATTATAAAAATAATGTAACACACATTAGAAAGGAATCTAGTGTTATTTTATCTGTATTGTAAGTTTGTTTGTATTTATAATTATTTATAACAGGTTCTATTACAATTATGATATTTTAATTTGTTGAGTCTCGCCTTATGATTCAATGACTAAATCTAATTTTACACACATTGTTTTTACTATGTGATTTTTTTGGTGAGTACAAAAGCACTGTTTTACACATTATTTATATATTTTTTATTATTTATATATTTTCACAATCATACTTACTTCGAACAATAGATTTTTGGGTTTAGCTGAATGAATACATTAAAAGTAGGCATAGTGGGTTAATATTTAAAAAACAATATCTCATAATAGCAACGATAATCGCATTTATATTTTTAATCTGGTTTGCATAGTCTTTATTTGTTAAATACTTTTTAGTTCATGACAATTTGTACAAACTATCTTCTTTTATTGAATTATTAGATAATTTTATTTGGTAAAACTAACAAGTATTTCAGTGGTGAAACCACTCAGTGCCAGTGTTCACCAAATATTTAGTGAATAATTAACATAATTGTTTCCACTCTTAAATTGTTGATAAAGTTTTTAAGATACATAATATCCAATGTAAATATACTATTATTTTTAGCTTTTCTCTTGTATAAATTTTTGTGGTGTCTTTGTCAAACGTATAAAACTGTCATAATATTATAATGGGATCACAAGTTTAAAGTTATTTAATTTTTATTTAAAATATCAATTAAATGTTTTTGGCATAACAATTTGTCTTATTATCATATCGACTTATAGTGAGTTTTATATAACATTTTGGTTGGACGTGCTTCTTAACAAATAGTTAGAGAGTTAAAAATCTAAGTCATTTTATAAGCAACATTTTTTTCATAATTATGGAAAGTCTATGACTTTTAGTCTTGATTTGACATTCCTAGATGCATTAATATTAAAAGGGTTCTAGCGGTTAGGACAAAGGTGGCATTTATTTTTAAAGATCACAGACAGCACAATATAACTTCTTGTAAAACTGCCTATCTATGAATGTTCAGTGCTAGTAACAATGGGAATACGTAGCGACCCCCTGTATCCGGAGTGCAGAGTAAGTGAGGAAACATACATCCATCTACTCATTGAATGATCTGCGTACTTGAGACTAAGGCAAATACATATGGGTTCGGACGAAGCAACAGAAGATGAGATACTGTCTATAGTTTACGCGAGTAGTACACATTTAAAACAAACACTTTAACGGTTTAAAACGCGATATATTAGTTAAACTTATTTGAAAATGACTGCTGCAAAGCATCCGAAACGTCGGGCCGAAGTTAAAAATCATTTCCAAATAAGTTTAACTAATATATCGCGTTTTAAACCGTTAAAGTGTTTTATTTAAACAGAAGATGATATCAAAGAATTAACGATAGAACAAATAGTAAGATTCTGCATATAAACCGGAAGGTTTGAAGGGGACGGGAAGTGAGAGTTGGATAACACAAAAATCCTGTACAGGTATCCCCGATATAAAATAATAATAATTATAATGTTCAGCCTTTTATGTTTACGGCATAATAAGCTACAATGTGTAAGTATAAAAAAAAACCTTTATTGATCGATAAAATCGATACTATGCAGCGCTTAGTTGCGACATCACTACAATACAGCGCATCACTAAAAACAGAGAGTAAAGAGCTTAGTCAGAGATTATAGAACTAAGATAAAAATTAAAAATGGCAGAATAGTGAACAGTAAAATGTAAATATCTATAGTTAGCTGGGATTTTATATCACACAAGTGTACATACGATCAAGAGTGACGTGGATTTTTAGAATTGCAGTGAAATCGGACACAGTGAAATATTTTTTAAATGCTGTTTGTGAACCAATGTCAGGCATAATCTAATCAGGTATGTATTTTCTACGAAGCCGCCCATTACATACTCAATCTGTCCAATTTTATCACAATATTTTTAAATTGTTTGAATGTATCCAGTAAACATGTGTTCACATATTAGCATAAACAAAGAAAGAATTATTTAATACACGACTGATTGCTAACTAATGATTTGAACGTTTTATATTAGCCGTAAAACTGTAACTGGACACTACGCACTACTATAGTGAAGTTATTAATATCTTCTCGATTAATCTGTTCAATTTACAGCTGATTATTTTACGATTTCCGATTTCTAGTTAATTAATCATTAAATTTTGTATTGTGTTACGAGAAATTGCCGAAAGTATTACCGGCTTTTAACACAGCTGTCCTCATACATATTGTCAACAATGAGGTATAAATTATCTTAAAATATTATTTGTTTAAGTCTCTTAAATATTTAATCGTTTAATACACGAATGTATATGCTATTGGAAACATGCAGGAGTGCTAGGAAATATTTTATTATCAAATATGTTTTCTGAAATATGCAGATGTTTATCTATAACAAGGTGTTGTGTATTTACATAGCATAGTGTCTGAAGCCATACAATTTTGCATTAGCCTTGGCCGTAATCAAATATTTATAAAATATTTACTTATTTACAAGATCCTAATACAATATTATAAAATGAAAAAAATTGAAAACAACACAAGTGTTATTTTGTTATGATACTTTAAATACAAACATGAAGCATTTGTCAAAGTTAGAAAAAAAGCAGGTGTGGTCTATTTGTTTAAACACTACTTATTTGTATTAGCAAGATACAATTTTCAATCTTGGTTTTGCACCGTAAGCAGTCAGTAGTTATAGAACAATATTTTATCTGACAACTTGTACACAAATACCATCTGATTACTAGTGACAACTAGCTAAATTTAATTTAATGTAGTTTAGAATATAATAATTTATGCAAATTTAAGTTAAATTCTGTCTATGGTTTATGCGAGTAGTACACATTTAAATAAAACACTTTAACGGTGTCAGCCTTCCCGTGACCACGGCTGCTGCAAAGCATCTGAAGCGTCGGGCCGAAGTTATGATAAATTTTGAATAAGTTTAACTAATATATTTTAAACCATTAAAGTGTTTTATTCAAATTTAAGTTACTGTTTTTGAGAGATTTCTTTATCTTCATCTAAAAAGATCATTGAGCTAGATCCAAACATTTTTATAACTAAAGAGAACTGTTGAATACGGGGCTCACTTGATCATGGATGAAATATCCCAGCTATATAACATCTAAAGAAGATGTGGTCTATATCTTTTTGGCTTTCGACAAGTGGCCTACTCCGACGCCTCTATATTCACCTTTATAACATTTTACCTACTTTTTTAGTGAAAATTCTTAAAGCTAACTTCTTAATTTCCCATAAAAACGTTAAGATTCTTTTTTTATGTCAACTCGCACAGTAGTTACAGTTTTGAAACTGTGCGTTTTATTTGATATTGTGTGTGTTGGTTTTTAAACATACTGCCATTGATAAAAATTACCAAAGTGTGATTGAGTATAATATAAAATGTATAAGTTGAAATGTATGAGATCAAGTGGAATTGATATCTTTAGACAAATAGAGTATCATAGAATGTTGGAAAATTATTTCTTGTTGTAACGATATATAGTCTTTTTAAGACATAATTAATTAGACCATTTTTTTTCCAATAAATCGCGATCTGTTCTATAATCAATATGAGCAATAAACCTTAGCCCTCATTAACGATAGAGCGTAGTAGGGCGCGTAGAAAAGCCTGCGATGCGCGGGCGCCGATAGCGACCGTTGCAGTTGGAGCTATGAGTCACGTATGCCCAAAATAAATCGGGTATGGGCGCCGCCTACCGGCCGGGGCGGGCGGATTGTTCAGGCTCAGTGGCAACCGAGCCGCTTGTGGAGCGGTCGCCCTGGAGCAGACCGACCTCGCACTGTGAAGGGTGGTGTCGGTGCGGGCGCGGGATGCGCGGCCATGCCGGTACCACACCGCCAACTCGGCGACGAGTTCGCACCCCCGGAGCCCAAGCGCTGCAGGCACTGCGACGGTACGGTACCAATTGCCATCCAGCCATTGACCAACTGCATCCTCTAAACAATTAACAGCCTCCTCCAAATATCTTAATACTAATCTGCAACACGGAATCTCCCATAACAACCTCAAGGGTTTTATGGTGCATCTTCCACGTGTTCGCTGTTGTTGATGACAAGATTCTATCTCTTTCCTCGCTAAAATTATCATTATTGCATTGAATTCAAAATAACGCGTGACTGTGTCGTAAATGTTTTTTGAGGATCGTAAGATTTTAATGTACGTGTAACAATTTAAGTCATACGTTCTTGTAAGTTATTTCGTTCAGAATGTTTTTAAACTTACAACGATTGACAGGAATAATACCTATAATAATAATCGATGCAACTAACACGCCATTAAAAAATCACCAATAAAATTAATTCAAAGTACAAATTGTAAATTAATAAAGTTAATCTAATCTAAATTAAATCTTGAATGTGTAGTAAGTGATAAAAAAATAATTTAACTAGTAATAAATAAGTAATTTTATGTAGTAACTTATTTCTTTTGTGTGTTTTAAACTGCTAAATTAAATTGTGGTAATCATGCTCATATGTACCCAAAATTATCTACGCGTTGAATTAAAGCAATATAACTTCTCAAACTGGAATCGTGCTTAATTCTTAATTACTGTTGCGGTAGTTTTTAACGGTTCCACGTTCAGTTCACTAATTAGATGCTCTAAAATATGTTATTAAAATACTTGAATTAAAATCTTGGGTTAACTTGAGTTTAACTTCAATTTTACTGAATAGACGGACAAGTATTAGTTTTAATTCATTTAATTAAGATGGGTTTTTGACCTAATTTCGCTTTGGTCATTCGAAAATCTATAGAAAACGGATATATGAATGGTCTGTTAACTGGAGGAAATTTTCATTTCAAGTCTAAATTATCCACGGATTAGATTTTTTAATTTACAAATTATTCCTATTTAAATGAAACACTTAAACGGTTTTACACGAGATAACTTATATATTAGTTAAGCAGTGGTCACGGCTGCTGCAAAGAAACGTCGGGCCATAGTTAAAATAATTTCCAAATTAGTTTAACTAATATATATCGCGTTTTAAACCGTTAAAGTGTTGTATTTAAATGTGTACTACTCGACTACTAAACTACAGGCAGTATTAAATTATTCTTAGTGGGAAACGAACCCCTAACCCAGTAATCATTGTCAGCATACAATACTGGATCTTGTTAAAACTACGCCTACTTCTTATATTACCATAAAACACAATCTACTAATTCGTAATTAAAACATTTGAAAAACTAATACCTTTATTACTAATACGTTCATTTTAATATTTTCCACTATGTTTGTTTTTTTTTTTAATATTAAAAACGTTATATTAAGAAATTTAAGGTGTACTTTAGAATAAAGAAAGTCGATTACACTGCAGAGATCATATATAAAGCTATAATGTGCAATTACGCGTTACATAGCTTTACGTTTAACGCGACTTCTTGCGTCATTCGAAATTGAAAAAAAAATGTTTTTGGTCGGGCATGGCACTCCACACATATATATATTTTACTAGCTGTTTCAGACTTCGTTCGCTGAGAATATTTATTTTGGGTATCCAAATTCGTTGTTTGCAAACCCCTTCTTACAAACTTAATTTGTTACCCACGACGTCGATCGCGTCTCTTCCCGTCGTTCTTGCAAGTTAATCTTAAAAGATAGACATATACCGTCGGACTTTTCTTTTTATTTTTTTAAAAAAAAAAATTCTTTAAAATAAAAAATTAAAAAATTTTTTTTTTTTTTTTTTCCCCCCTTTTTATCCCCCCGGAAAAACACCCCTTTTTTTACCCCCTTTTTTGAAGAAAAAAAAAAGGGGGGCAAAAAAAAAAAAACCCCCCCCCCCTTTTTTTTTTTAAAAAAAAAAAAAAAAAAAAAAAAAAAAAAAAAAAAAAATTAGAAAAAGTCGATTATGTAAACATTCGTATATAATTTGTCTCCTTTATGCTTCAGTTAGAAGTAGGAAGAATGTAATTGTTGAAGTTTTATATTAAGCTAGGCTAGTCTTCGTCTAAGTAGTACTTATTATTCGAGAAGTTCGGCTGCTCGTTGGTCTTATGGTAGCAATGTTCTATAATCAACGGGTCATGACGTGTTCGATCCCCATCGAGTCGAATGTGTTTCTAATTTTTCAATTTGTAATTTTTATGTAACATGTTGACTTCATCTGGGAATCTGAATATTATATGGGTGGTAGGAATATCGAAATTCTGTTCAGGTCACGAACCACCAACCACAGATGAAAAAAGTTAAATTTAATCGCTTTTCGGTTTCAACCTATAGATTTCCGTATGTCCAAAGCCAAAATAGGTCGACAGCACACCTTGCACTGCTTAACTAAAGCTGGGGATTTTCACCTCGCATCAAGTGAACAAAGTGGAAATTACCATTACCTTAAAATGCGCATGCGCATGCGCATGCGCATGCTCTGTAATGGCACTACAAGCGCTTGCTTATCGTAATAAGCAACGTAACCGACATGGAAATTACGCCCGAAACGGTCCACGTTGTTGTAGGATTAGTCAGTTGAAGGTGTGTTATGATATGATGCAATGTTGTGGCAGGTGGTACATACTGGTAGCGTCACGCACATCCAATGCCAAGTGTTGTTGATTAGGCTGACCCAGACCTGATACGATATTCTTAATCAATAACCCTACATGTACCCGACGTGGGACCTTGCTCTTTCATAAATCACATTAGCGTAACTGTTGTAAGGCCAGTTTAAGAGACCACATTTGAGATTTCATCGAATCTGCCAACAGATACTAACTATAAGGAACGACAAATTTAAAGCTAAGAAACGCACATACTAATCGGGCCGGCAACCACAGCGTACTCGACCTTTCTGAGGTCTCGGTAGCTCAATTGGTTCGAGAAACAGCACGGAACGCAGTGGACGCAAGTTTAAGTCCTGTCTGAGTCGTTATTTTTTTTTTTCATTTTTTAATCGATTTTAAATTCATATAATGACGTCATGTGCAATAACGTGTGAAAAATATTAATTTTACGTTTCAATCTGTCGTTATCACTTTATAAATCTTATATCAAATTTTGCTTAATAAATTAACTAATAAGGTTGGTATCTTTATATTTAAAAAGTAAAAGTTCTGTCCTTTTAAACAAACTATCTACCATTCTAGACTCAGATTTATTAATGGGAAAAATCTACGAAAATTTGTTATTAAAAACCACCATACCATACCAGTAGTTATTTGTTCTGATGTAAAGTACTTGTTTTCCATACTTCCATAGGCTTTTCTAGAATCCAGTAAAAAATAGATGCCCAAAGACGATATTTTTAATTTTGCTTCTAAACCACACAATGTTAGCATGAGCTACATACATGATTTTTCAATGTCGATTGTTACCGACGATTATTTTGAGCCTACTAGTATTTATGTACTGTCTGTTTTATGATTGTTTACGAGAGGAAACGTTATTACTTCGCGTCTCGTAACAATATTTGTTCCGAAACATCTAGTCTACACTATATATTGCATATAGGGAGATCTAGCTGGCCCTGTTTTTTGAAATGGTGAAACTGTGTTGGCGGTGGAAACTCCCAAAGACATTTCACCAGATAATAAAATTATAATCAAAAGCAATAGACTGCGGCGACTCATATTTCGTAACTGACGTGATGTTTTGTGCGATCGTAAATAGGCTGTGACTACGAATTTTCACGCCTTTGATGACGGGCTTAGTATAAAATTTAAATTTCCATCTGAGAAAACGATTCTATTTATGCACCGAGCGTTTTCGTATGGGTGGTAGGTAATTCTGTCGCACATAAGAACGGAATGTTTGTTTGAGGAATCGCAAACAAACTCATTATAATTCTCAGAAGCGAAGCTCGTACGCATTGTGTAATTAAACTTGCAATCGTTTTGAGGAAATCCGATTAAACATCTTCGCGTTGCATCATTTAGATGTTTTGATTCTATCGACTCGCGCCATCATTAATTTTAGTGACATCTGTCTAACTCTGACGGGCCGTCCCGCTAGACGCCGCCTCTGACACTCGTGACGTCATCGATTTTCTTCCTGAGTTGAGTCGTTGTTTGTTTTTATTGACGATCTTTATTTTAATACCCTAGTTAAAATCCCGTTTGATTTATTGTTATATTGTAGAGATTGTTCGGAGCCACCGACAATATCCAACAGTTTATGGGAGGCAGTTAAATATACCGGTCTCGGTTTGTCGTTACGAATAGAATTTTGGCACTGACTGTCTCCGGTTGTGTAAGCCATATGGTAAACACTTGTAGATATCCAACTTGCAGTTCACATTCTTCAAGAGTGATAAATAAGGTATTCGTTTATCGTAATGATGAGATCTTGAATACTGATTTTGACGTACGTGATTTCTTACTTCTATTCAAACTGAAGGAAAACGTGTTCTGCAAAGTTTTTAAATGTATCTCGTGTCATACGTTTTATTTGACGCTTCTCAGATTATAATTTATTTATTTTGTTAATTCTTAAGATAAAGTGTTAATTACATGAAAGTAATCACCGAATTGCAATAACTATTTGAATACACAATTTGTTTTTCAAAAAGTCGTCTTGAGTAATTAGCGGTGTCGCCCTCAATCTATTTGCACCTTGACCTCGTTCTGTTGTTTTACGAGTTACACGGCTCATGCTTTTTTCTAATATCTCATAAAAGTAACACAAACAGAACAAATAAGCGATCATTCCTTAATATTCCCATAAACTTCTCAAATAGTTTTGACTATACGGTACGAAAACAACACGAAATATGACTACCATAATTTCATAACGGTGATTTCAAACCTAATATATTAATCCTATTTAATTATATCAGATGATAATACATAGAAGGTTGCTTTTGGTGTTTGATTATCTTGTTAAGACGCGAGATTCGACGGTTTTTGGTTTTGATATCTTTGTCATTAAATACTGTCTATAGTTTACGCGAGTAGTACACATTTAAATAAAACACTTTAACGGTTTAAAACGCGATATATTAGTTAAACTTATTTGAAAATGATTCTCCCCGTGACCACGGCTGCTGCAAAGCATCCGAAACGTCGGGCCGAAGTTAAAAATCATTTTCAAATAAGTTTAACTAATATATCGCGTTTTAAACCGTTAAAGTGTTCTATTTAAATGCATC